GCTTACTTAATAGTGGTTTTTTTTCCTGCTTCTCTTACAAGCAAAGGCGTCTATCTGTTTATCTATCTCAAAACTGTCACAAACCTTAGAAAACCTTAAGGCTTGAAAATAAATATGTTCAAAAATTTTTGTCCAAAAAACATGGAAGAAAGAGGCAGCGAACAAGCATCAACCGTTCAGGTTCTTGTAAAAAAATTCAAATGTTTTCTGATTCTTATGTTCGTTTTTTGGGGGTGTTTAAATTTCCAAGTTATTATTTCTCAAGTTTAGTTAACTTTTCATGCTACAGTATCTATTGTAGACGCCATTGATAGTGCGAAAAAAGCAACTACTGTAATAATTCTCAATGTAACTGAAGTACTCCATGGAGTATGTGGTTGTTGTTTTGCGACTGAGGTGAGTCTCCAATAGCTTTTTGATAATGATTCACTCTCAGATTACCTCCCCAAATCAGACTCAGGTGAAAGGGATCATTCGGGTTTTGGCTTAAACGTGAGGGGGTTAAAATCCATTGCTCCCCTTATCGCAGCTCTGATTAAGAGGGAATTCGCACCGAAAAGGGGGAAAACATAAAGAAAAGCCAGATAGTCACGTGAAATGGTGTCGGCTTTGAAAATCCAGGATAAAGACGGCAAAGGTTAGCAGTGTGTGCAATGACACATGTAATCGAATAAAATGACTCGACTGTATACGCAGTCCGTGACAAAGATGTGCTCCTTTCCGATTAGCTCAAGCGCAACACTAGAGCCCCGTGCCGCGTATGCAATTGCGACGTTTAAGCGTTCAAATTAGCCGCATCGATCGACGAACGCTACGCAATGCCCACGCGCTACGGGCGCGGCTACGGAAAAGGAAGTGTGTGGTTGACACTGACTGTACAGCACCGCTGCCAAATCCAGCTAAAACCAATCGTTGCAGGTCTAGCATTTAGAAAATGAGATCTTAAATGGAGATGATTATGAAATGGGATTTCAAATAAAGATGATTATGCCAAATCAGTTAAGCTCATCTTCTCATTAAATTCTCGTATCAGCAGAGTACCTAAGAGGGCAACTTGATGCATTTTGATGTATATTTATTGGCAGGCTTGGTGCAAACGCTCTTGCATCAAAAAGAATTCAACCACTTTCCAAATCTTAAAACTAATTCATGTTTTTGTATACGAAAACAGAAGAAGGTTGCGCTTCACGATAGTTATTCAATGGCAACTTTCTATTGGCTAGTGGAGAGACAAGCTTTTGAATTAGAACGCAAATATCGTCAGTCTGAGCTCGGTCTAACAGATATAAAGTGCCGCTAGCTATCTCAAAAAAATTAGTAAAAAATATTTTTATATAGCATTAGTTCCTACATCACTGTGGCAGACTAACATCACGGTTAAACATGCAAAAATAAGAAATTACGAAGACTGTACTGCTGAAAAAATTCCCTCATCTCACATTTTCACCACACACACAGCTTAGGACTAGAAATGTGATCTTTTGCTTTTCTAGAACACTACGTTTTAGAAGCCAAATGGTGTCTTTGCTGGGGAAGTGCGGTATTAAGGGAATTCCTCATGCTTAATAACATTTATTTCTCAAGCCTAATAACATTTATTTCTCATGCGTAATAAAGATTTTTACGAAATTTGCGTTTTTGCAGTTTCTTGCGAGTTTGAAACCTCAGTGAAGTATGAATTGGTGGTTTTTAGAATTTAGATTTTCCGCTAGCCGAGCTCGTACATATAGATTGATGCTATTTGGTAATACTTCACACGTATGAGACGCTAGCTGCATTCTAGTATCTTTCTATGAAAGACGAAACTCAAAATCACGAGGTGCAAATTGTAGAAGTTTGTTTCTCTAAGGCTATTTTTGTAAAGCGCAAAAGTTCTTATATTTTTTAGTACCAAAATCTGATTGGACCAAGTTTCTGGATCAAGCAAGCAGCAACCTTATAAATAGAGCATATGCCACTTCAGTATATTTTCTCTCTAAGGCGTAGGCTACACAACGGCTGCTTCACCTGGAATGCACTTTTTTCTGCAAATGCAGCTACCACTCAGACATTTCACCGGAAATTCCGCAGGACAAGCAAATTTGCAGCGGTTCCGCAGGATATTGTTCATTATTACAAAAGCGAAAACTTTGAAAATGGGCACTTCCACAGGATGTTCACGTCAAACTGTTTGAAAATTGGAACTTCCCCAAGACTTGGTACAAATGCTGCGAAAAAATTCGAAAAATGCCAGGGTTTCGCAGCACTTTAACTTGCCAGTACTTCCGCAGGTTTTTGAATTTGTTGCCTCTTACAAAAAGAAAGGCCAACTTGAGCGCATTGTCGAGCATGTTATACAGGTGCAAAGGATAGTGAGTCTAGCAATCAACAGAGCAAGGTTTGAATCTCGTAGGTGTTTACTTCCGTTGTTTCCGTTTTGAAGCTTTGAAAATTCCGCAGGTGACCCGGCGGAGCTTTTCCAAAGTTCTGTGGAATCTCCCACGAAATGTCTGAGGATGACTGTACAAGGCAGCACGCATAAAAAAACCAGAACATTCAAGGGAATCGACGATTTGGATTGACGATTACGCTCGGAAAAGTAGGAAAGGCTTTATCTACAAGGTTGCTCAACGCATATGTACTGTACTTCTAATTAGCACTTTAAGAATGACGAACATGGTTTTTGATAGCGGTATAAAATTCCTCATAAGCGATGATCTTATTGCTGATGCACATAAACGCCTTACGTCATGTGGCTTTTCAATGTTTTCTTTGAAAAATGGCTTTTTAGTCAGACTCTGAGATGAAGGCCGATGGCTATAGCAGAGTGTTGTGTAAAAAAATCGCTGCGATGACTATCGTTAAATGATGTGCATGTTTCTGGTTCTCTTTTGTTACACGTTTCTAGCGTTTTCAAAAGAGACGTCAGATTTTAGCCTAAAGTTCGTCTTCTACGCATTTCGAATTCGTTATAAATACCGCTTGAGAACACATCGGGCAGGTTAAGGTTATCATTTAGACAGTATGGGATGGTCTCAAGAATGCTGATTCTCTGAGTTCAGCTTCATTTCCACAACATTTTCGGAAAGGAATGACTCCCGTATTTACCATTTCAAAGAAAACTGAGTTATTTTCATTTCTTCCAGTTCTTTAATGGTATGATGTTACGGAATTTATGAATGTTTCCCACATCAAATGATGCGAATTTGGTGAACGTCTCATACTACAATATATTAGGTCGTTCCGAAAGTAATGTCGTTCCTTTCAAATGAACGCCACATTTCATAAAATCAAGATTTTCAAAACTTCTAAGGAGCATTCGATGCAATATTTCATCCTCTTTCTAATGGTTGTAATTTCATTGCATATTATTCAATGAGCTCTCGAAAAATTACCAAAATCTCCGTCTCATGCTTTTTGCCATGCTAAAGTTCGGCTATTTTTCTAAATTTTTATACCTACTCTCCGAAGAAGTTCAAGTGGCAGTTAGATAGAGCAAGCCCTATAGAACACAGAGTAATTTTTTCTTTTCCTTAGTTTGCTTCTTAGAGTTTCTACAATCAATATCTCAATGTCATCACATTCCATGTTTGGTCAACTCAAACCTCACAGAACAACAAGCGGCAAGCAACTCGGATGTCATTCGACGCAGCTTTCCCTCCTCTTTCTACCAGTTGTTTTTCGTTTCCGATTTATCAAGTTTTCCGAGATAAAATCATCATAATTCAGGTTTTCCAGGGCGACCCAGACTGTACTCGAAATTTTCGAAAGCTGCTAATCTGAAGCGGTGAATGCTCATTTGGTTTATAAAATTAGTGTCAAACCATAATCCGAAGATTTATTGGCATTTTTGTCTGAGACAAGCCTGCTAAAATTCGGTGATCCTATCAAAAAATCTATACAAAATTAGGACGAACTCTGGAAAGCAGAAGAAAGTTGTGATTCGCGTAGGGTTGGCTCTATTCCATTCATTACTTGGACTCCTTCCGAAAATTGTTGTAAAAATTTAGAAAAATTTTGAAACTTGGCCTTCTCAAAAAGCATGGATCGCCGATTTTGATGAGTTTTTGAGAGGTTAATAAATTTTGTGCAGTGTTTATATAAACATTAGAAAGAGAATGAAATGCTGCATCAGCCACCAGAATCTCTTACACTTCTTTGTTCCACGAGATGTGGCGTACGTTTGAAAAAAGCGACATTACTTTAGGAACGACCTAATATTATGTGCGAAAAACAAATTCTGCGTTTAAATATTTTCCCTTTGATTATCAAATGTTCTAAATCCCGTTACATGTTGGTGTTTCACTCCACACAAAAAACTCCTTCCCTGTTCACAGTACGATCAATCTTTTAGTGATTGTTGTACTACAAGTACAACTTCTTCAGCAAAAGTTGCGCTAGTATCGAATTGCGCAATTGAAGATCTGTCTCAATGCTTCGCTTTCTTTCTTCGGGTGAGTATCAGTTCCTCTATAATGAAAGTGACTATTTAAGGTAGATAACAAGGCCTTATCAACAAGAGCTCTTGGATTTTTGTGGCCGCCCCCAACGCTCATTAATTCTACGATTTAGATAACACGTGGAGTGACAATCTAAGCTCTTGACTAAATCTTAATCTTATTGAGCAGATATGATTTCTGTCTGCTTGTCAGCTTAAACGTAAGGATTGATTGTTCTTGACATCGATAGCACTATCATAAAGTAGCTATAAGAAGAAAAAAAAAAGCTCAGAAAAAGTATGCATGGGAAGTCTTGTGCAGAAATGGGCAGAAAATTTAGCGCAATCATTTTCGGGAAATATTGATATTCAGATGAAAGAGGATGAAGATCATCGAAAAATATAGTAAGCGAGCAATTTAGATTCACAAATTATCACTACAAAACATTTTTTTTTGTAAAGAATTCATGTCAATGTATGCCCATCGAAGCGGTATGCTGTCGTAATGAAGACATTTGTCAATAAATCGATGTTACACATACACCTTCAAACTCGTCCTTTACTCATTAACATGTTATTCACCGAACTATCGGCTGAAACCTTCTTGTGAGACAAGTTTCCGACTCAAACAGTTTCTTGACCTTAATACTTGAGGAGTCGACGAAGTTATACTACAAGATGTTTATTCCAACAATCTGCAACTGATTCAATACGCAGTTCAGGTTTGGTACTGCAAAACTGAATAATCCTTACATTTTTTATTGAATTGCTCAATTTTCTTTCCTAGTAATGACAAGTCCTAGTTCAGGTCTAGACAGACGACGAATGCAAAAACTTTGTTCTAACTTTATGTGAGGCCCAAATTAGTTCACTTTTTATCTTCCCCGCAGAATCTGACATGGTCAAACATTTGAGAAGTATGAAACCAAGTAATTTCCAAATTTACAATCCTCGCAAAAAAAAACTTGAGTTATCTAAATTTATACGAATGTCTACAATGCTGAATTTCATTTGATTGTAACGCTAACATTTGACTATATAAGTATCTATGTGTTGATATTACAGGTTTCCTCAAACACATAATCTGAGAAATGGGCAAAGCAACTTTATTGCTTCTGCTTGCAGTGAACTGTCAAGGTATGTTTGTTTCCATCAAACATTGCCATCAGAATGCCTAGATCAACTCTTACACCTTGGCGAAATCATAACTAGTGTATGTACATAGTAGACACCATACTTTGTGTTAGAACACAAACTTCGAACAGGTTTTATGCACTGCTCCGCGTCAAGATCACTCCAAGTAAAGGGGAAAAATAGTCAAAACTCCGTTCAAATGTGTATCAAAACAAGTTATGTCTGCTTATTAATGCCCTTAGAAGATAACTTTTCTATTTGTTAGCGGGAAAAGAGCTATGGCATAAGGTCCGGTGGGGAATTTCTTGGTTAAGTACTGCCTTATCAGTTTTTCACATATGCATCGAATGAATCCAATTTTGGTTTATTCTAAGTCCTTGATGGAATTCTAATTCATTAGCTTTACACAAGTCTCGTAAGAAGTAATGGAAATAAATGTAAGAGTGGCATTATATTTTTCCACTAAAAAGTTACGACTGAAGCAAAATTTTGAAGTTAAACTTGATTTTTAGGCTGAAATACATAAACTTGTTGATGTTTCGCATGCTACTGCTATTTCAATCCATAGACACCTTCCTATCACATGCTTTTAGAAATACCATATTATTTTTTCATTTGATGGTTTCCTTTTGTAAAACAACTCGACACCTACTTGTTCTTCATGATATCTATCAAAGTTTTAGAGGTAGTGATAATGTTCAAGACTTCTTTATTTTAGCATACTTTGACTGGGAAGCATACTTTGGAGCTCGACCGGGTCCGTTCTTTGGACCCTTTTATCCCGCACAAAATCGGCGCTTTTACCCCACTTCACCACGGGAAGAATATGCACCTGCACCAGATCCTTTTTTGGGAAGTTTTTACCCCGATTATCCACAGGAGAAAGCTTTTACGCGGGGACCTTATGATTCTGATCAGAGAACGAAATCGCCAAAGAGAGACTATCAGCTAGAGGTGAGGCTTGAAGTTACGCTGAAGCATAGAAGGACTTTACTTCAGTGTTCCGACAGATTTGAAAAGAGACGTCCTAATCGAGGAGATAAGCGCGACTCTTGCAAGATTTTAGAGCCTTACAGTAGTTTAGGAGCTTGTAAGAAAAATGCGTGAAGCCGATGTTGACAAAGCTGGACCGTACGATTACGAAGTCGACTACGGTTATCCAGCTGGAGGCCGTAATGATGAAAGTGATAATGAGTATGTTAATTTCCTAACTACATAAATGAGGTCATCACTGTAACTAAGCTTACTTTAGTTTGTTCGTTAATGTAAATGAAACTCTGTTCAAGCGACCGGTTTATGCACTTCTGGTAAATTTAGTAAACAGAGGAGTATTCCAGCATGATGTTAGTTTTATTTCGTTTCCAATATTTTCATTTCATGTAAAGGAGTATAGGTCTGCGAGAATGAACGGCCACTTATTGGTGCTCGACGGGAACAGCTTCAAACTTTATTGGATACTTGGACAAATACTGAAGTGTTCAAATTAGCTTATGAGTATATGAATAATAAAGGTAACTTCACTGAATATTATTAAGATGGCTTTCATCTGTGATTTCAGGAGAGGAGCATTCAGACAGTTTTGAAGAGCTCAAAGAATTTCTTTTCGACTTTTGGTTTGGCACATACTCACGCTGTTCAGGACGAGCCCAAGGAAGCTCCGGTAGTTACAACATTATATAATATAACCCCCAACATTAAAAGGTGTTATTTTTGTAGGATTTGAACATGTATTTACTGGAGAATGGAAGAGAGGTACTGTCGGAGGACATCACAGCTGGGTTACTTATTACTTAGCGCAAAAAAAGGGACAGATTAATTATTATGGATATCATAGCCAACGCGGAGTTCGTATCAGCTAAACATTTATTCAATAAGTGGCTTAGGTAGACCAGTTATGATTTTAGAAGCTTACGGGTACCTTCCAGTATGACTGGAATGGCTTCTTCAAGGAAACGGGCGGTTTTCTGTTCGGGACGTCCCCAGGTATGGTCAACAAAAAGGTTTTTTGCATCTGCATGAGTTTTTTCTGTAACCTAAAGACTGCTCTTCTTATTACAGCGTTTGACTTTGCCTTATTTACTGTTTGCTCCCTGACGCATTCTGGAAAACACGGATGTCAATTTTATATCGATGCTGTTAAGTTAACAGTAACCTCATTCACTCAAAGGTGCGATTCTGGGTTGTGCCTATCAACTGCATACCCCACTATTTGACGTCTTTGAATTCCACCTATTCGAAGTTTTTGAATGAACATTTTGCAGCAATGTTGACCTGTTGCAGACTTTTATCATCACTGAAAAAGGTAATGAGAAGAACAATGCATATGTATAGAACCCAAAAGAGGGTTGCTGCATAAGCTCTTGGACCTAGCGAATCATTCTTACACGTCTCAGGTTTTTTCGTTCCTCCAGCATCAAGGTCTATCTCAGACATAAAACAAGTCCTAAATCAGTGGGCAACTTGAGAAGGTCGAGAATCAAGAGGACTTCCATGTTGTACTGGTGCATGGACGGACGTTACGTTTCTCAACTCGCGCTACTACTCTTTCCTGCAAGTCTTTACCTACTTTAATGGAGCTCAAAAACGCAAATCCGTGGCTATTGCATACTGCTATAGTATGAAAAACTAGAATGAAAATTAAGTTGGAACCAATTTATCATAATTTTTCTTCGAAAAAGGACCAATGCAGACGTAAACATTACTAAATATCGGAAATAAGGGACCACTTGTGGGAGTACCTAAGATGGTTACAACTAGAGATAATATAATAGAGCTTTTGACAGAAACTTCCAGCGACTGCAGTATGAAACAACCCTGAAAGGCAGTGTACACCCAAAATTTGAGTTAAGTTCTCTACACCGTGTATATACATGTTTCTCCGCTTAAGGTTGTTTCATACTGTAGTCGCTGCAGCAACAACTGTCGATCGATCGTTATCTTTTGTCCGCCTCAATATGACTGCAGCTGCTGCAGCGACTGCAGTATGAAACAACTTATGTTTAGAAGCAACATTGGGAGACCAGACCAATGCAGTTGGTCTTCTTCTGGGCCCTAGATATACACGGTATAGAGAACTGGGGAAGTTAGATTTGGGTGTACGCAGCCTTTAATTGAGTGGACAACCGCTTCGTCATTGGTCAATTTAGTGGTTTGACTAATAGGGCGGATCAAGAAGATCATGTGGAACAAGCATGGCCCGTGCCTAACAAGCGATGCCAAGTTCGCAACAGTGAGATGTTGCTGCTCCACACCATCTCCAACAAGTGATGGCTCTGCCACAACAAAATCACTGCTGCTCAACACCGTCCGCAACGAATGTGCTGTATTACCATTTCCAACGACAGCCCTGCAACAACAAATTGGTGCTGCTCAACACCTCTTGCAACAACATGGTGCTAATCAAGACCATATGCAGTAAATGGTGACACCGCAGAATTATGTAGTGCTGCTCAACACCATCCTCAAGAAATGGTGGCTCTGCAACAACAAAGTTCAAGTGATGCCAAATTCGCAACAGTAAGATGGTGCAGCCTTCACACCATCTCCAACATGTAATAGCTATGCAACAACAAAGTCGGTGCTGCTCAATACCTTTTGCAGGAGTATTGTGCTGATCAACACCATATGCAGTGACTGGTGGCTGCGCAGAGCTATGTGCCTGCTATATGTCTGCTCCACATCATCTCCAACATGTAATAGTTCTGCAACAACAAAGACGGTGCTGCTTAACACCTTTCGCATCAATAGGTGAAGATTTACAATACATGGTGTTGCTCAACAACACATCCAACAAGTAGTGGCTCTGCACAACAAAGTGCTGCTCAACACCCGCATCAGTATGATGCTGATCAACACCATATGGGTGATACAGGGGCTTTCAATTTGAGTGTCACGACCGACGTGGTTCACCCCCTCGAGAGCCGCGTCGCATGGGTCTCTCACGTGGCACAATGCCGTATACGCTGAGGTCTTCCCGTTATCGGGTGCGGTAGTGTACCACGTGAGAGACCCAAGCGAGGCGGTTCTCAAGGGGGTGAACCACGTTGGCCGTGACACTCAGTTTGAAAACCCCTGTAGCTCCGCAGAATCACGTGGCGCTAGTACCATTTCGAACAAGTGATGGCTCTGTGACAACAAATTCGCTGCTGCTTAACAACATAACACTGAAGTGGTACACTCAACACTATGTGCAAATTGTTTGCAGCGATAAATCGGTTTGTTCGACAGTATTCGTGACAAATGATGCCAAATTCGCAACAACAAGATGGTGTTGCTCCACAGCATCTCCAACATGAAATAGCTCTGTAACAACAAGGCCGGTGCTGCTCAACACCTTTTGCAACAACGTGCGATAAACACTGTATGCAGTAACTGTTGACTGCGCAAAATTATGTGGCGCGCCCAACACCTCCTCTAACAAGAATGACTCTGCAAAATAAAGTCAGTGGTGCTTGATGCCATCAGCAACAATATGGTGCAAATTCGCAACATACGGTGTTGCTCAACACCATCTCCAACAAGTAGTGGCTCTGCAACAACAAAGTCAGTGCTGCTCCACACCATCTCCGACTTTAATAGCTGTGCAACAACAAATCCCGTGCTCTTAACACTATTCGCAACAATATGGTGTTGATCATTACCATATGCAATAAATGATGGATCCATTAAATGTTGTTGCTCAACATCATCTCCATTAGATGGCTCTGCAACAACAAATCCGGTGCCGCTCAGCACCGTCCGCAACAAATGGTGCTGCTTATTACCATTTAAAGGAGGGCCCTGCAACAACAAAATTGTGCTGCTCAACAACTGTGATTTTGCCACAACATGGTGCTGATCAAGACCGCAGTACTGTTGGTTCCGCTCAAAGGCAGCGTCCAAGCAAGATCCACCCACCCAGACTAGCATATATTTGTGAGCGGGCCCCATGAGTATCCGATCTGCGTTGGTTCGATCCTTTGACGTGGCCTCTAAAGGAGGTACGGGCCTGTGATAGGTATCACAAACCGCCCCTCGTATCACAAACCTCCCCCTGAGGGCGTGTGCTCACGCATCGATCGATCATGGAGTGCAATCGCACCCGTACAGTTACAGCTCCTCCCCGCTGGCGAGCCGAGGGGATGAACAATCCGAAGCTCGTCCGCGCCCTCAAAAGAAGGTCCCCAGGTGGTTTTTTGAGGGTTTTGGACAATTTGAACTTTATAACTGTAACCAGGACCACGGAAAGGCAAAAACAAAACAAAACAAACCCTAGAACGAAAAAACATGAGAGGCGAAATTTTGTCCGGAAGCTGCCTTCAAAGGCAGTGTACACCCAAAAATACGCCTTTGATGTTTTTGCCATTCTTGGGCCTTTCCGTGCCCCTGATTACAGTTATGACGTTATCTCCAAACTCCCAAAAAATCCCGATTCCCGGGGACCCTTTCTTCAAATGGAGGGCGAGTTCCGAATTGCTCGTCCCCGTCGACATGCAAGCGAGCAGCTGCATCTGCATGACAACCTGCAGTTGCAACTGCAACTGCAGCTTATGCTGTAGTATATTCGTCGTCCGTAGGAGGCGGACCGCAAAAAGCAATCGTGGATTCGTCCGAAGGAGGCGGACCGAAAAGAAAGGGGCGGAGCGAAAAGAGAATCAGGAAGGTTTTCACCGCTTCGAAGCAACATTGTGAGACGGGGCCGACACAGTTGGTCTTCTTCTGAGCCCTAGATATACATGGTCTAGAAAAACGGGTAGCATAGATCCTAGGTGTACGCTGCCTTTGAAAGAAGCCCTTATCGTTGCTTTGTACCCAACGGTGTTTGCTTGAAACGATGAAAAGTATGAGATTTTGCACCTCTAGAAGGAAGGCGCAGGTTACTAGATCACGAGAGAACCTCACCGAACAGTCAGCCAATTTTGAGTTCGCCGGCTTGAAAAAAGTTGGAGAAGTTTCTCTGAAATGTTTCCTAGGGGTGTGGCTGGAAAGAGACCCTTTCATCAAGAAGGAATATTTGTGCCATAGTCACTGCGAGAAAGTAACAATGTGCAATACATTACTGCCTACCTTAACGAAATGAAAAAAGAACTTCTCGATCATAATTTATTCAAATTAACTATATCATTCGTCTACGTCGCTTTCTTCGCTCACATGTTGATCACGCAGAAAGTGGTGACGTCGATAATTCAGTGTGAAAGACGATTTTCTTCCTGGAGGTGTTGGCGGTAGTGCTTCTTGCATTCCACTACCACTAAATCAGGCTACTCAAATTTTTATTTATATGAAGTAACTGAAAAATACTAAAAATTTACCCCATTGTCGCTGCAACTTCACGCACAAGTATGTGAATTTTTTCGAGGGTGAGCTGCATTTCCTTCATTTTTGACTCGCAGAGATCAAGCCGAGCGTTCACGCCAATCTTCTCTTTGGGGTTATTGTTAAAAGGAGAGGAACCCGGCCTTCCCAGCATGGCGTTCATCCTCAGTTCAAGCTAATAAATGTTTTGAAAAGTCAAACATCTCGCACAAAAATTTCACCTCTCTGAGATTCTGCTGCCTCAAATTCTCCTTTTCACGGATTTCTGCTTCGACTTCTAGAAGACGGTCAGCCTTGCGCAAGCGTTGGAGTTTTTTCGTGTACTCCCGGAAAAGCAAGAAATTGAAAAACCGCAAAAGCGGCCTGTATTTGTGCAGTTTCCATTCTTCCACATCTAGAAGCGAAAGAGTGTTCACTACATTACAAATCATGAGTCCAGATTTTCTAATCAACTGAAAACCATGAACTCATAAAATTATGCGCACCAGAGATATTCAACGACTCCGATTGCTCTTCATCAAACATATCATTGGCGTCGAGATGAGTTTCTAAGTCTGAGAGCTCCATGGTTGACGAGGCGTTCGTATCAGTCGATCCGCGTCGATCACTTATTCGTGCCAGCTAAATTGGTCGTTTTGCTTAGAGATGCGTCTAGGCAAATTTGGGTACTGGGGTTCCATAGTGGAAATTGATTGGGAGGTTTTGGCTGTGCGACAGCATGTCAGATTCTTTAGCGGTGGCAAATCAACTTCAGAATTTGGCTCAACTCATACAGTCGCTCGGACCCTTCTGCGGAAGTCTAAAATTCTCGGCACATTCCGAGGAATACAACTATTGGAGGTGCCTGGTAATTCGGGACGTGGGGTGGTCCGCTCGCGGCGTCGTCAAAAAGTCGAAGCAAAGGATTTCCGGGGAACTGAAGAAAAAATCCCCGGAATTTCCCGGTGTCCAAAACCTTCATGGAGCTTCAAGCAAACCTCCAGAAAAATTGGTACGCAGCCAATTACTCGTTGAGCTGATAAGCAACTTGCGCTATTTTCAAAAATAAGCTATTTGTCGTTTACTTGCTTCGAATCGTTTTTACCACGTTTTTCTTCCGTGCTTTCGTGTTTTTCTTCCGCGTTTTTGGTTTCTACATTCCCTGTCAAGTTTCATTTTACTGAACGTTTCGGCTGTAATCTTAAACCGGAACCACCTTGGAGGAACCGCACTGCTTAGAAAAGACTGCTATGTGTCTCCCAATGGAACTGAAAAACAAGCGAGCTAACATATTTGCCACCTGTCATCATATTCAATGCTGCAGTCTTATACCCTGAGCATGCGTTCATTCGCAGACTCACTCAAAATTGTGACTTAATTGTGACATTACAGTCTTTCGCGGCATTGGGCGAGTTTCCTCCCTCTCAAACCTTCTATCACAGCCTTTAGGGTTTGGCCAGCGCGATGTTCTGTCTTCACAGTTAGGTGTAACGCGTATCTGCTGGTTGCCGCTTGGTGGATTGTTTGTGAAGGGATGTGGATTTGCTGTGAAGTGAGCTAGGGCACGATAGTTTGACCCTGCGTGGTGCCCCTCAAGGGAGTTGAAAATCCATCTACACCAGGTGAATTATCGAAGTATGTACACTTGCTTATGAGTCGTTATGTGCCAAGGTTTTCGTTGTTTTTTATTTTAACTTATATATCTGTTCGAAACAAAAACTCCGCACTCCAAGAAAAATTAATCTCCTCGGTTCCCAGGCCTTCGACTTCATTTTATTAATCACTTTCGGTGTTGAATAATCAATTCTACCTCTTTTATTCTGTGTCCTCTTTTACTGTCTTCTCTGATTATTTCCACATTATATTTGTTGTATTGACATCAACTTCTTTATGTCTATTTTTTGTCTCATCTCATATGAATTTATTTCACCTTTTTTTCAGGGCAAAACAATGCTTCTGTTATCATCGTGCTTTTTCGCTTATTTATTATCAATTAGCATTGGTTTACCTTGTGTGTCCTCATTTCCTTCGATCACCCGTCACTTATATGTGTGATTACTTCAATTCCATTGTTCAATTGTTATAGTATCACTCCTAGAAGCTGTGTTTTACCTCATCAGTAAGAATGAAAGTATTACCAGTGTTCCCTTTTGAAAGTATAACTAGTTTTGAGTGAAAAATTAAAGGCTGCATGACGAAGGCGCAGTGGCGATATTAGTTGAGCGGGTGCGAAAGCGAGGCGTGCGTCACCGTTGTAGATCCCGCTTCTTATGTGCTCTGCGGCTAATAAAGCCGCGTATGCGCCCGAAGATATCGCGCCTTCATCATGCAGCAGCCTATAAGGGCCGCATGCACTAACATTTCCGCTGGGAAGGGGAACGCAACTTCAGAAGAAAGCTTCATATCCCGAAGCTCCGGATATCTGGATTTCACGCTGTCTACCTGTCCGTAAGTACTCCCACCATCCTTCACAATGAACATATTGAGCAGAAGCGAGAAGCTGTACAAGCCGCATTTCCCAGCTTTTTGCAGGATCCCCTGATGATCCCTGGGGGACGAACATCTATTCTTCAAAGTCATTTTTTTTTTCATTGAAGACAACGAAAACCTTCCAAAGTTATACTGAACATCTAACACAACAGTGCTAAGCATGTTGCTGATGAGAACAAATGAATTTTTGAAAAATCGAATTTTTCGGTATACCCCAAATTTCGACCTGTGGATCATCGAAAATTTCATGACTTCAAAACATCATTTGTTCTCATCAGCAACATGCTTAGCACTGTTGGATTAGATAATCTGCACAACTTTGGAAGTTTTTCGTTAACTTCGGAGAAAGAAAAATGACTTTAAAGAAAAGCGCCGGAGATCATCAAGGATCATACAAAAGCTGGAAAATGCGGTTCGTACAGCTTCTCGCTCCTGTTCAACATGTTCATAGTGAAGGGTAGCAGGAATACTTACGGATAGGTACACAACGTGAAATCCAGGTATCTGAAGTTTCGAAATATAAAGCTTTCTTTTAAGCTGCGATCCCCTCCCCGCGGCCATGTTAGTGCATGCGGCCCTAAGTGTCAGAACTAGTTTGGGTGAGATTTGGGGGCTATAACTGGGATTTATAGCTTAATTAGGGCTAGCTACATTACACTAAGTGTGCGTGCAGGGTTTCCGGACTAATCAATTTTTTTGGGGGGGAGGGGGGGGGGGAGCGGGGTAATCAGTGTGCGAAGTACAGAAAATAACTAGGGGAGGGAGGGGTGGGATGGAGGGGGGGGGGGGGGGGGGAGACTCCGGAGCGTCTTCAAATGTTTTCGAGAACTCCAACCCGACCTTCTAAGAAACTGTAATTCTTTCGTACTTGAGAAAGCTGATTGGTCCGCTTAAGAAGTAGTCAGGAGCACAGAGAATTTCTCAGGTACTGACAAATCATATGAGCTGTATGTAGGGTGGGCAATAGCTAAATCTCGAAATCAGTATCTTCATGAAAAGTCCAAGTACCCAGATTCGAGTGAACAATGTTTTTCAATATCACTTGTATGCAAACCTACAATGATCCCAGACCGCGACTCATCCACCTCTTTACAAAGCGCTGTCTCTGGAAGGCTCTAAATTGTCTTTGTAACCTCAAACTAATGATAGAAACATGCCAAAAGCTCACAGCATGCCTTTTCAGTCCTTTCCTTCGAATACGAGGAGTCTGTAAAGAAAATGTAAATCAGTTAGTTGCAGATGAAATTATTGTGAGATATATAGACGCATAGCACGCTGAGGCAAGACGCCACTGCTGATTGAAGGCAGTTTGGTTAGGAAGGCATGACACACAGCATTTATAGGGAAAGTCGAAAGCGTACGCAACGGTGCCCCCTCTCTGCGTGCGATGACTTGCCTATACTCACATCTAGATTGAGTGCTTGTATGACATGTTGAGTAACACCGACGCTCAGCTGCCGTTTCCATGACTCAAATGATGCAGCATGTATAGTACAGTAAGCATCGTACTGTAACTTCTTTTTCCTTGAAAATTTCTTGTTTGTTATTTGTTAAAAGTTATAAACAATTATAAACAACCTCTCGACTTTCTCGCGCAATTTTGTCATGAGTTGCCGATTGCGATGCCCTCGTCTAGCTGTTAAATAAAGTTTGAAGCAGATACGTCTAGAAATAGAGAATAAATACGCATCGCCAATTGCAGTTCAAACTATTTTACCTAAAATATTCCGTCATCTTCCTGTCCTCAACACTAGCGAGGTGGAAACGAAACCTAAAGCTGTTTCGTTTTCTTTCAACAATACTTCGAACCACGAGTCTTCTTACCAAAACTGTATTAGCGATGCGGCAGTATTGCGTAGTTTATTTTCACACTCCTTTTTGCTATCTTCTTCCATCATTAATGTTAATCCTCAAAATTATGCAAGTCCTTGTTATCATCGATGAAAATGGCCACGAACCTACTGAAATCTGAGTAGAGGCAGTAACGAATGTGCAGTAAGCTGCGTAGCCAAAAAGGCAAACGATAACTCTTGTAATCCCTCTGGAGGGAACAATATCACCATACCTAAAGTAACAAAATTGAGAAATCACTCACTACAAGTCTTCGCTTTAGCAAGTGTGATTCCAGAAAAAAGAAGTTTATTAGAGGGGGGGGGGGGACGGAGAACTTCTAGCATTAGCCAAATCTGAGGGTTACGCCCCCTGGAGAATTTTTTGCGAAGTTCTTACAAAGCTAATTTTAATTTCTACAAAATCCAGACGATTATTTTGTTAACTTACATACACTACATAGCGTTACTTCTTCACCTACCCTACGGTTTCTATAGACACAAGAGTAAACCACCATGTATGAGCAAGCGATGGAAATGCTTCAGATCCTAAAGCAGTTCAGAACATGGAGACTCAAACACATGAAAAAGGAAGTTATATTTTAGTTGTATTTATTTCTTACTAGTGATTTCCGATGAGTTTTGTGGCATTTGTAATATAAATCCTTCATTTTCACTGATGTAGACGAGGTTGACCATAGTCAGACAAACCATGAAAGTAATGTTATAAGCAGCCAACAGTTCCCACCTGAAAATGGAAAGTTTTTGAGTTAAGGTATAATGACGCCCTTGCCTCATTTGAAAAGAGAATTAACTTTCCAACGATTTTGTCAAGAAAGATTTACTAGGGTGTAATTAGAAGGTTTCTAAAAATTCTAACACTCATTCTAAAACTCAGAATATTGTACTCAGAACATCCGAAAGTCTGCTGTGTACAAAACAATTCCTATGAGAACCAATTCCTGGCCGAAGTTATTTCGGACCAAATTTGAGATTCGCAAGCGCACTATATTTTTACGACAAGCTAATATATATGCACGACAAAGCGAGCTTACTTTCCCAAGACTATCATATTTTTGAAAAGTCGAAATGTTGTCATCTGTCTGTCAATGTGGAACAGCCGAAGTATCTACAAAAACATTTGGTTAATAAGCTCTTAATTAGTAAATACTCAACAATAATTCCACCTGAATCAGCCGTAAATAATCCAACGTATTATCAGAAATATAAGTCTTCTCCAAGCAAACCAAAGTTAAAGTGACAGTTATTATGATTACATCCACAATACAAACCAGACGTGTTAGATATCTCAGGTGACCTAAAATGCACCACAAACTCTCGTTGACATTGCGTTAAGAATTGCCGGTGCCCGCGCTATTCCAGCGCCGTGCTAGCCCCGTGCAAGAACCACGATGTCGATCGATCAGTATGCAAAGCGTCCACGTGGACTGCGGCATGGCACTGGCACGACAACTATGAACGCGGCCTGACCGATGTCTCCACAAATCTTACCCCTATATCCCACATATTTTGCATCTGCCGATATGCTCCACATTCTGATGATAAATTCGCCTAGGAAAAATAGTGCTAACAGCGTTTCCATTTGGATATATACTTCTGAATATAACATTGATAACGTAGCAGCTACGAAGCAGTAGCAGTTTTCGAGACCTTTCAAGAAGGGATCATTCCATGAGTAGCTCGTGGCCCCTAGTATCACTGCTGCAAGGACGATTAAAAAAACTCCTGAACGAACAGTCAAAAGTTAGCAGAATATATGAACAAACTTATTTGTTTTTGATGTTTAGGCAAAAAGCCTTTGGTGTGATTTATGACGTGCAATGCATTCTCTTGATAAGAGAAAGCATGAAAAAATCATATGTGTAAAAACATCGTATGTTGCGGGATTTTGGTTGTATTAGGGTGAACGGTAAATGTGGGACAGCTTTATTTTATGACATTTTAAGATTTTTTGTCCTCACCAGTAAAAGCAGGCTGCAACTCAAACGTCGCTTACATATCCGACCTTCGCACCATTCGAAAGAGCTTTTCATGCTCTTTTGAACGATATGTTAAATGCCTAAGATTTCTTTGAAAAATTGCGAGAAAACCTTAAAAATAGCTATTTTTGGTGCAATAAAAAACCAAAAAATTATGTTTTGCCCTATATTTTCCGAAAATTGATAAAATCTGAGGCAAGCTGCACATGGATGGACAGAGTGTAAAAAGCTCTATTAGAAGGTGCCTAGAAAACATGCGTTCACCTGGAAAGAATTGAATAACGCGTATCTTCGTTCTCGAAGCTGCTAATGGCCATATCTCCTGACTTTGGAAGTTGAAGCCACCAAGCCGTCGTGGGTTTGGTGACTGTCCCACCACCCACTCCAGCAGTGGTACTTTGGGTGGTCTCACATGTTTCACTGCGCAGATACTGCTCAAAGTTCATAAGGTGTCGCAGTGATTAACTTTGCATTTCAGCAAGTACAAAAATTATTAATTAGGTAAATGACCTTATATAGGTACTATCTGAAAGAGAATAACATATTCTAACATCTGTCAAAAGTGGAATGTCCAACCACTTCTCTTTCTTGAGAAACCTCCAGTCATTTCGTAAGTGCCCCATTTTTTACCGTTCACCCCAATATTTTCAAAAACAAGCGATATTTCTGACGTTAAGGAGGAGCTGCAGGTTTTAAGCATAAAAAAGACCTTCCCACCATGAAAAAATGAGCAAGTGTTTCTCTTCAAGTTTTGTACAATCATTTCTAAAGGAACATCTTTGTAGAGGAGTGAGCCCCATGCGGTAACATTTATGTTATAATTGTCAAAGCAGGACACACCAAAATGATACCATGTGCTATTTGCGTTCATAGGATGATCTAAGAAGTAGTAAACTCGGAAACGTAATCGACGAATGTAGCGAACTCGGTTGCTCAGCTAAAATGCTCGATTTCTGTAGCATATCCGGAGACGGACTTAAAATACCTGTATAGTATCACGTCTCTTGATGTCTTCGCGATTATAAAGTCCTTCTTCTTCGGATAGAGACATCTTCCGCCTTGGTTATTCTCTGAAATCTCGAAACTGAACATAAAGTTTTAGCTGGCGAAAGGTTTCGTTTCCTATTAACTTGTAGAAAAATTGAAAAACTCAAATATTACGCACACAATCACCTGTAAAGCCGTTGCAAAAGATAGTGTGGAATCGATAGTGGTCTGGAATCGCTGACAAAGCATTTTTAGTGGACGTTAATGTCCGATAAAGTGCTTATCAACCGCACAAACACAAATAAAACACATCATTTTCGCAACTTTGCTATAGTAAACAAAGTGACCTGTCCTTTACAAATGTACAAAAAACGTTATCTCTTTCGTGTTTTAGTGCATATGATAGCCCATTTCTAATCTATAATTTGAGCTCTCGTGTGTTATCTTAAAGGCAGCGTCCAGGCAAGTCTGGAGCTATGGGGATTTTATGTGGAAAGTACTTTTGGGGCCCTAACTAAGCCACTGCCCAGCCGGCAGCTCAGGTAGTGCCCTAACGGCTGAGATATTCCCCTCGAAACTGGACCCCGCGACCGTGTTTCGCATGGATTCATGGCGCAAAGCGTGGATTCTGGCGCGAAACTGCCATGAATCCATGCGAATGCGTTCGCGGGGGCCAGTTTCGAGGGGAATATCTCAGCCATTAGAGCACTACATGAGCTGCCGCTTGGGCAGTGCCTTAGTTAGGGCCCCAAAAGTACTTTCCACGTAAAAGCCCCATAGGTCCAGATCTGCCTGGACGCTGCCTTTAAATATCTTCGTTCGCCGTCTAGCAAAGATTTTTAAAAAAGTTCTTGCACTTGAAGGAGTTCGAATTTTTGTCCTGCATGCTGGAAAACATTGCGTCCACTAAACAATAACACTGTGCTCTAAAGATTGGCCGTATGATATTTCACATAAAATGGGTTTTCGAAGTTATGAGGTTGACAGAAGTTTACAATTTGTTATTAGTAGTGTATTATTTAATTGGTACGATCTACATGAAAACCTTAACGTCAACATATCAAGAATTTTTTCCTTTGGGTCTAAAATGTGTAAACCAAAATGCACAAGTGGACATGTCGACGAATTGAAAAGCGAAAGGAAAATAATAACAATTTATTACATCTCCAAATTCAGAGAGCAGAAGCTTCTCATGGATTCAAAAAGAAGCTCATTTGGTGTTTTTTATGCTATTATTTTCCACTTCATCCGCAACACTAACTCGAGTCTTAACTAAGAAGGATATCTTATTCTTTGATTCAACGGGATTGGCGGGTGGAAGGTGACCGCTCGCACCCTCGTTGCAGTCTGCGTCTCTCTCGCGAGCGCGCTTTCCAAACATTCCCTAGCCCTGATTAGGCTTCGAAGGCCCGCCTTTCGTCCAATCCCGTTGAATCAAAGGGTATGTGCAAGGAGGATTATTTTGAAAAAAAAAATTCAAACTTAGAAGAGAAATCCACCGCGTGATTGGACATAGCTAAAGGTCCACACTTCTGTCAGAAACAACATTACAGCGTTTATAGACACTGAATGATTCCGGGAATAAAAATGAGAAGCACATCTCGTTCTCCAAGTTTTCTGCAAAAGAAAGACCGAGGCGGAAACACCGGAACACATATTAAGGTGGCTAATTCCTAATCGCTGCGATACAATGCACTATTGGCAACCATAAAATCCGCAAATTGCTCTTTCTAGCTGGTGAAGTTTGTGCTGTTAAAATCTCTACGAAAAAACAGCAAAGTTTATCGGTCATTTTTTTCGAGCAGAGATCGTCCTAGAAACTCTCTCGAGCATCAGTCGTTTTTTTTTCAATGATAGATCATATACTGCTGTTGCAAGTTTTATCATTTCATTTAGAAGGTCCGAAAACTAAGACCATAGATGCAGCTCAAGAAATGCGCTTTATCTTTTGCAAAACCTGTCGTGCTGTGAGCGACCAGTGTGCAAGAACAAGGCGTCTTCTCATGCTAATCCGTAACAGATCAAATACACAAGCAATTTCCTACAAAATTCTTTGACACCAAAACACCAAGTGCTAGCTCTTGAAACTCCAATGGACCGGCTAGCTTTAGTCAATCATGTAGTGGCTAAGTCCGTCCACAAAGTTGGACTGATGATGAAGCGAAATCAGATACCACTGAAAGCAGTTTAAGACAGACTTTCAACATGCTTGAACATGCTTTATCATGCAACAGACATATCATAAATGGATAAACAATCAATTCTTACAATACAGGGCAACAGAATACAGCAGGCATTTACAAAGCTCGACCACCACTCAATAAAAAAAAGACCGGTTCAACTATCGCTATAATACTTCAGAAAATTGTGGTGCTCTAAGGAAACTACATCTGAAACTAGCTGCAATAAACTGGATTAACCTTGAACATCGCGCTCTAACTAAGAATTGTGGTGATTACAATTCCTCATCATAACCCTAGCTTACGTTGAAGTAGTCATTCCCCATCATAGTTCGGCATCTCATCCACCGAAAAACATGTGTCATCTGAATATTACAATTTGCGTGACCAATACCTCAAAACAACAACGAAAGCAGACCTAGATTTGCATTGGACTTCTCTGAATGAGATGGAATGGTTGAAAGGTCGCCGAACGCTAACTGCAAAGAATGGCTAGCATATTTTATTTGAGAACTTGCGCCCACAACTACGAAGTGTTTTAAGTGATAACCTGTTGAAAAAAAACCTACGTTGCCACACTCCTTGATGGGAGTGGAAGTTGCTCGAGGAGGCACACCACTCTCAGATGAACATGACAACATCAGCTGTAATGCGTGTTAAAGATCTCATGATCCAGAGGAATAGAGAAGATGTTGGCAATTTACAGTGCTGGCGGTGGATGCATCTGCAGAATAGGGCAGAGCTGTGGACAACGACCCCCTCTGGTTTGACGTGGTGGCATCTGAAATCGCAAGCAGATATTACTTCTGACCTGAATGGAGAAGGTACGCTTCTAGAGGGCCGAGCATGCAACACGCGATTTCATCGCCTTGCGATTCTCTCGATAAGACAACTGTTACGTATTGCACACCGATCAACCGTTTATAGGTCGTATCAATCAGCATCGCTCCCGCGCTGAATATGCCTTGCGATGTGTCGCACGCGACCTGTCTTAACATGTAGCAAAGTACGCACGCATCACACCGCACCGTCGCTAGTTGCCGCAAGCGCCGCTTGACCGATGCTGGTTGATATACAGCCTATAAGTTGTGATTCGCAATTAGTCTGAAAAATTATCACAACCAAGATTCAGAATGATCGTCATGCGATGGACTTGTAACAGTTGTCTTGTTAAGGGAATCACGAGGCGAATCGCGTGTCGTATGTCCGGCCCTCAAACAAAACCAGAATTGTGAGATGCTATTCCTCCAAGTGTGAATACGGCATCAAATCTCGATGGCAGCGTTCACTGATCACAGTCGAAATGATGGCACTGTAGAGTCTCTCGAGATAACGTCAAAGATACCGATGGACCATTTTTTACTTTTATGAAGAGAATTTTCTTCTATTCAGTAGTTTTCACCACTGAGAGTGCAACAGCGAGATAGCCGATTGCTTGAGATGCAAACTTTGTCCCAATCCCAATCAGGCCAAAATTAGCATGGTGTAAGACCTTGTCGCGAGGGTTTGGCGTCACGTGTACAGTTAGTTTGTCTGCTCTCTCTACATTTCTTCACTCTCAGCGACAATGCGCGTATGCAGCGCAAACACTCCAGCGCTGTGAGCGCGCAAATTGACGCCAACGGTTTGGGTTGATCCCGATTGGGACAAGACTATGAATAGCAAGCTGAGTATGTTAATTTAACCTAAGGTAATGAGGGTTGCAGTATGCTTGGAGCGCCCCACTTGCAATGATCACGAATAAGCACGGGTGGCCTATCTTATTCGGTTGCACTGTCAGCGGCTTCTTATACTTATTGCCTATTTTCATAGCTGATTTCGCTTACTTCATAGCTATTTTCAATGTATAATCTTCAGTTCACGTATCGCAGGAACAGTTCCTTTTTTGTGGGCTCACATTCCTTTTTGTTCATCTTGGCAGACACCCGCGGAAGGTAGCTGTTGTATTGCAATTATTATGCAATAAGATGTTTGCTGTCAGCGGCGGGTAAGGACACCCATCCAGGGCCGGTATTCGGGAATCTCCCGGTATCGAGAACGCTATTTTACCGTTATTATGATCAAGCGCTCATTGCCCGATTGGGCTCTAATCTGTACTGGTGAAACAGCGCCTCAAAAACTGAACGAGTGAGCATCTGTAAATTCGATTATCGATTGTTTAAGATCGTCCATACGTTGCCGACAGCTGTCGCCACGGTTGGCGGTGTTGCCAGTCGCTGTAGGAGCTTATACCAGTTAATTGTATTAAGCGCTCTCTAGGCACCAACAGGGTAGGGGAACGAACACCTCAATTAGGCACACCCCTCTGCGGACTGTTGGTCCTTCGCCCTAGTGTTGTACATCGTGTTAGGAACAGAAGTTCGCGGAGAGGCCTATTGAGGCACTCGTTCCTCCATCCCAACCTAGCAACCCTAGCAACAGGGTGCGGGAACTTACCTACCCGAAAGACTTGCCGCAGCGTTCCTTAGGTATCATGAGCAGTCAGATACGCAATAAGCATAGTGTACAGAGCCTAGTCTATATGTATTCTAAGTTCCGCCCCCATCCATTGACTCTTCGCCGTGCATCCATCAATCATGAAACCGAGAATTCAATAGAATCACAAAATTGATGTTCACCAACTATCTGCTCGATTTTGATTAGAAATACGGATTTAGGGGTTTTCTGAGGCGCTCTTTTCAAATATGTTATTGGTTTTGCGCTGCCTTTCTTTACAGGAGCCGAAATTTTGCTTTGGTGAATTGACTTTTAGCTCAAGAAATCTCGACAAAAAACAAAGCACCCTTATTACGCATGTAAAACTGCTTTTTCACTATTCCTCTCGGAACGTTAGAAGAATGATTTGTCTTATCCTTCTGATTAAAACCATCTTTTTTCTTTCCATCAGCTCCATTTTGAACCTCGCGACCCTCTCTTAGCACATTCTGGCGCTGAGCCAGCCTCGAAGTCCTCAGGTATTGCCATGTTTTCTGGCACGTCTTGGTTCTATGCCAAAAAGGTGCAATGTGTGGGCGGGGCTTAGCTTACAAGGGAATGGTCAGAAATCGAAGTGGCCAATTCAAGCAAGCTGCATACCATTCGATGCAGCATAGAATGCTGATTTCAGATCTGTCTTCCTTATCTGCAGAGCGATTTTGTAGGCGAAGTTATAAGCCGTTGAATGTCATCATTTTGCTAAGAAATTGTGCGTGTAAAGGTCAAACTTGGCCATACAAAGTCATTCTCGGCCCAGTGTTGGACCAAAACGTGTAACTAGGTCAGTTCATATGGCTCGTACCTAAAGGTGAGTTAAAAGAGCAGTGATCTGCCTAATTTCGCAGTTTTTGTGGACGATTTTTTCGCAGTAAAGCTGCTCATAACTTCGCCCACAAAGGCGCTCTGCAGATACGGAAGATACATTTGAAATCAGCATTCTATGCTGCATCGATTGGTATGCAGCTTGTATGGATTGGCCACTTCGACTTCTGACCATTCCCTTGTTAGCACTGTATCCTAAAGAGCATCTGGAATCAGCGAGCTCGCTGGAGAGAGATTAGCTAGAAGAACAAAGTTCAAGGTTGGCGCAAACTCCACCGCATGTGCTATATGCACGGTGACATAAACAGCACTGTACAACCGGAGAATACGAAAACGTGGGACTTGGGGCGAAAATACGCGGCTGGAGCAGAGTAAGGCCACATGTTTTTGGTCCAATGATGATGACCCAGAAAACAACACTTTTCTTAGAAGGAACCTCCGGGATCCGATGAAGTGCAAAAGCAATCATATTCATAATTTCGATATGATAGGAGAAAGAAAGATCGTTGGATATAACAGTAAAGTATGCAATTCTACGCAGTAAACCCACCAGAAGAGAATAAGTCGCCGGCTGCTTCCTTCCCCTCGTTTTGCACTGACTCCTGCAAAGAATCGCTCCTGTGAGATGTATTAACGCAAACGAGATATATGGGCTTTTATAAGCAGTAGTGTGCAATGAATGAAATCGAGACAATGCTGCGACAGTTCGCGTGTCCAATAAGAGATCTGTTACTAAGTACAGCGCTTGACAATTGCGGAGTCGGATGCACCAGCATCTCCGCTCCTGTGCGGCCTCCTCGCCTGGCCTCTGCAACTCTCGAACATGCTCTCTAGTTCCACCACGAGCGTGAAAAAGGCAAAACTTCTTTTGTTAACTAAACACGCGAAAATGATTAAAGAGCATTTCAGGAAGGCGGTGCAGAGTCCCAGGCAAGACGGCCGCGCGGGAGCGGAGATGTAGTGCACCCGACTCTGCAACTGATAAGCCCTCTGTAACTTTGCTAGTGGCAGACCAGATCGACATCCAATAAACACTCTTTTTTTTAGATTTTAAAAGGACATATCTGAATTTGCGTAAACTAAAATTATACACCTCAAATGAAATAGCAAAAAACTTCAAATGTGCTACAGCTACATTCTGCGGAAACTAGTGACAAGCACCCTCCCTTTATGATATTTCACTATCCTTCCCCCCGCGAATCCTACCAGAAGCTTCTGTAGCTAAGAACGATCGGTTTATCTGCTACTGCGAATCCAAGTAGAAGCCACATCTGCATGTGCCCAAAGTTATCAAAAGACATTAATGGCTAGCAGTTAATCACTGTGAGATGTGGATCAAGCATAATGTTTGAAATGTCCTTGCGATGCTGTGACATTCATCGATAACATTTGAGCTTGATTAACTGCTAGCCCGTGATGCGAGAAATTTGCACTGCGCTGCCAGAAAGCTCACATTTTGAATTTTGCACCCTTCAGCGATATTCTATGCCACACTTTCTGTTCGATTATACACGCACTGGACAATCATGAGATTTATTTTATAATACAGGTGTTGCGTATCACCCCGCAGGCAATAAAAGAACTTACCGTCAACATTTTAGGGTTTTTGACCTTTTCCTGTTGGAATTTTGCATCAGTCACCGCCTCCTGGGAAGAGTCAAAAGACGAGCTCATTCTCAACTCCCCTAAAAAAATCTTCTTTCAATCAGAACTAAGCGATAATAAAGCGAAATAGTTTCGAAACAGCTAATACGGTGCCCAGACAAAGATTAAAACAGCCCTGCAGCGCTATCTAGAGCGAAGATAGAAGCCAGCAGCGCAAGGTGTAAGCACATGTCGCCGAAGGGGAGGGTCCCGCGCAGATATCTGCAACAAGCACCCCCCCCCCCTCTACAGTCGGTCCCAATCGGGGGAGGGGAACGAAAGCCGCTAGTTTGGGCCGCCTTCGCGGTCTATTGGTCCTGGACCGACATGCAACAACACTGCAAAAGGGCCAGTTGGCCGCGAAGGGCGGATCAAACTTGCGGCCTTCGTGCCTCTAATCTCCAAGCGGGATCAGGCCGAACCGTTGGCTGAACTTGCGCGCACGCAGCGCAAGGGGTTTGCGTGCGCCGTTGGAGAGGAGAGATTGAAGAGCGAGAGAGCGGCAAGCAGACAGTAGGCGTGACGCGTAACCCTAAGGATGCGGACTCCCGCCGTGCCAAGTTCGGCTTGTATGGGATACAGACTGTACTGTAGCGGCAGTCCATACCAAGTGTCCGCGAAGGGTGGAACCTGTCGGCGATTTAACGTCTTCTATCTAAGCGCAAACCATAGAGATGTTCATGCAAAGACCAACAGGTGTCAACCCACTATTGCTGTAAGAGTTCCGTCAGACTTCGCTCAAAAGTACTCACAAGCGAAGCGCCAGAACGTGAAACGCCTCGCGCACAACTTCGCTGTAGCGGGAATTTTAACACGTTGACGACCTTGTGTATCCGCATGTATGCACGCTCTGACTCCCGTTTTAGCATTTTCATGCATCCGCGCGTATGCACGGGCCAAATGCCCGAAGGACGTTAGTGGGAGTTTCGCCCAAAATGGCGCGGTCGTCAACGTGTTAAACACATCGTTGAACAGTCACGCATGATCAGGGTCAAGCAAGGGGTGTGGCACACGATCGCTGGTTACGACTCCCCCCCCCCCCCCTAAACTATACACTTAAGATAGCATCACTTGAAGGCCCTGTCAAACATGCGGCGGCCGCAGCTTTTAAGGGGGTGTGTTGCACCCCGTTAACTATATAAAAAAAAAACATTTTTAGCGGACAGTATTTATATGAATCGATAGCCTAAACCTTGTAGATTCCATAGGACTGTTTTGAGCCTGATTCGTGTTCTTAGCTCTAATTAATATTTGGTGAAAGCACAGCGATCAAAAGCGAAAAATGGGAAAAACGAGATTTTGGTTGGCTTCTAATTCCACAGTTTGAAGGTCTTCTTAAACGGGATTCCTGAGGTGGACAAAGAAGGAGTAGTGCTTTGTCTTGAGTGCAAAAACGGATAGCTAATTCACCTTTGAAACAAAGTTAAACATGTTGGAATTTGACCATTTCACTTACGTAGCCTAGTATCTTGAATCTTCAGAATTCGCTCACACTTTGTCTACAGGGGTTAACTGACATGCCAATTATGGATAGGATACGAATGTTATGTTATCACTGTTATCAGATTACCCAACTACGACCCCTCCTCTTTTGACTCCTCAATACGACCCCTCCCCTTTTGACTCCTCAATATGACCCCAGGTGTGGCGTGCCGCACCCCTGCGACATGATCCATTAAAGTACTCTTGAGTGGAGTATCTACTCGCGTCGACAGGAATGGACTGATCTTACTTCGTCATATGTTGTGACTTGAGCCGACTTTGAGCATAAACATGATCATATAGTCATGTCATACATGTCCCTGTTCTATGAATAATGTTTTCAAAACGTACTAGAACCTAACAAAAGGAACTTTTGATCAAAATTTAGCCTTTTTTTCTGTGAAAAAATTTCAAGAAGTCGCGAAAGAGATGTACCGGCGCTCCTCGGCGCTTTTGAGCGCTTTCGGGCAATTCTGACCGAAGTCTGACCGGTCCCTAAAGCGCGGGTGGCAAAGAAGTCGTTAAAGACAGTGTCCGGACAGCTGGGAGGTTAGGGACTTCGGTGCCATGCGAAAGTGGCGCCCTTCAGGCACAGCATCGCGCAAGTATGAGGTACGTTCGACTTAAAGCAAGAAAAACGATCGGGAAGTGGGAGAAACTTACGCTTTGGGGCGGGGTCCTCCGACCTGTTCGAACTCCTGCTAGCGGCAGAGTACGCATGCCGCCTCAGTCAAAATCGAAGGGTCCCGCAGTGACTCTGCATCTCAGCCTTGACGGGGACCGTCGGATTTCAAATTGTAAGGCTTTGGAAAACGCATGTTTTCGCTGTTTTCGCGCCCTCTAATGTGGATTTTCGGATCCAGCGTTGCGGGTAACCTCCAGTGAGTGGGTTTTCTAAACATCGAATTTTTGCCCGGACACTGCGTTTGAGAATGATGGGGGTAGGGTAAACAGACCATTTGAATCCCGGTTTTCATGGGACTGATGTCTAGCGTAATATCTGTAGTTCAACTTTGACTGGAGCAGTCCGCCAGAAAAAAGGGTTTTGAAGAAGAACGTTCCTGCTTACCACAACTCACCGGCTATAAATAAGCTCGTAACCGTCTTGGAACGCTAACTGAAGCACTCAAATACTCTGTGACGAATCAGAGAAAGGAGGATAGCAGCTCCTTGAGGCAAAGCCAAGTTGGGATCCCACTGAAGGAGTCCTCATTGGCTTTGTTCCAAGGATTGAAATCGCTGTTGTAGATGTTGTCCAGTATTTTAGTTTCTTTTCCGTTGCTTTTGTCTGTGCTTGTTGTTCACGACGATTGGTACCCACAATCCCAGTTGTTAAAAATTCTGTTGCTGGAAGTGCTAATGTTGACAAAATTTATGAGAACATCTGCACAACAAACAAAATGAAATAATAACAGATACTCTGCAGTATAAAACAGAACATTAAATTAATCATGGAACGGTTAAATACACTTTTCTAAACAGTTGTCGGCGCAATCTTGGCGGATGACGGCGAACAGCTAATCTGCGCCTGTGTGTCTTTGGACGTAGCCATCCCATGACCATCATTTTGTTACCAAAAATTGCGCATGTTATAATAATCAGAGCTGCAGGTCTTGAACCACGCGGATCCCTATCCTTCAAAATTGCGAGCTAAGCTCTTCCATACTTTGAACGTGCACTCGACGATGAGCGGGATCTTGAGTGCTATTGCTTACAGGTTCCCTGTCTGGTTGTGGATCTTCTAATGATAGCAACATTATTTTTATTAGCGAATCCGATGTCTCCACTAAAGCTGTAATCAAGCGGCACCACATATTCTTCATAGGCATGCTTTACCTGCGAAGCGGCAAAAACGCTGGCACATGCAAAGACTCTGGAAAGTTCGCAGTAATATACACACCGTCAGTGGGCACCTATAACACCACATTCAGGTCGTGAGGCTCTTCTGGAACAGTATTGCCAGCTGAAGTGGCAGCTCCATTCTGCAGCTTCCGTCGAGGCGCCAAAGATGTCGAGATATGTTCTATCCGAGCGAAGGCGGGTGCATTCGATTGTAAGAGATCGGAAGCTGTAGGAGATCGGAGATTATTCAAGAATGTAATATTATGACTCATTCGTTCAGGGCGTGGTCGACGAGAAGCAAAGCTGAAGGAAAGGAGATTCATTGATGAGGCCTTTCAGCCACCGAGCGGCTGATGCCGCCTACACCCCGAACCACCTGCACCATCTATTCAACCTCGTTGGACCTCTGAGATCCTTTCATATATATTGGCCAATAAATCATTACCCATTGCAGTATTGTTGGTTACTTACAATAAATGATGATATACCACCGTGTCGCGAACCGTTTTGATTGTGTGGTGGGCCTAAGTTCAGTATAGTGAATAGGGGCAGTAATGTTCATATTGAGTTCAGTTAAAAAGCGCGCAGAGTAATGAAGCTGGGTTATAAAATATTCTTTTGTATTTATGTGGTTCTGGTTCAGTTGCCCACGTGTTGGTTCGCATTTTTTTTCGTTTTTTTTCAGCAGTTTGATATAGAGCTCGGCAAGATCACTACTCGAGTAAAGTGTTCGTTTTTATCAAGTAAGTCCCCCCGCATGCATGCTTTTCCTTCAATCGATGTAGTTCTAGCATGAGCCGGCCTGATCGCGAGCTTGATAACGCATGCCATCTTCACTCGTCTCGCCTGCGCAGGCCGCCAGCTTCACTGAGGGTGAGTCATTTTCTTTTTTATTGTTTCGTTATTATAGCCAGATCATTTTCTGCTTCCCTTTTTTTCCTTTGCGAGATTGGTAGTATAATAATCGTTTGATTTGTTTTTTCTTTCCTCATTTGAGTTGATAACAAATTCTTTTCTGAATTCCATTTCGCTATATCTTTACGCGTGATCGCGTCCCCTCCCGAATCAGCAGTTATTACATGTTATCAGAATTTTTCTGCACTTTGAGAATTCCTTTTATTTTTCATGGCTTTTTTTTGATATCTTTTGAGCTTAACGCCACTCTGATTCCTTCTCTTGCTCTATTCTCTTTTAATGTATTTTCTTTACTGTTTTTCCTTTTTCTGCAATTTTTGAAGTTTTTTTTCTCCTTCTTTCTACATTCGAAAGCACACCACATAGCAAAAAAAGTCCTCTTTTTCTGTTTTTGGCATTTTCCCCGTTGATTTCTAACAACGGTTTCTAAATTTACGCGTGTTCGCGTCCATGTCCAAAGTAACACTTTGTCTCATATCGTAAGCTCATTTCCTTTTTAAGGGTTTCCTTTTTTTTGGAAGCCTTTCTTCTTGCATTCTCAAGCATACAATGCTTTGGTACTTTTCTCTGTCCCCGTTGCCTCCTTGGTTACCACCTATCGAGCCCACCCCGAACTCAACGACTTAGCTAACACGTTCGTGTACGGAGGAACACTACAAAATGGCGTACAAGAAGCACACCGATCCATGCTTTTGAATGTCATGCGAGTGCCAGACGGACGTACCCCATTTCTAATGCTGGACGTTGCCGAGAACGCAGAACGTGCTGCAAGCCGCTCGTACTACAACGATGCCGAAGCACAAGTCTGTCAAGCCATCGTCGAGCGTCTAAGAGCTTGCCACATTCAGCCGGATTCCATGTGCATACTAACGTTTTACAAAAAACAACTTCGTCGTCTCTCAACGTTCGCCCAACAAACCCACGTGGAAGTCGCCACCGTCGACTCAATTCAGGGTCGCGAGAAAGATATTGTCATCCTCCTTACAACTCGTACTGATATTGACCCTGACTCCACCGAATTCCTGGACGACCGCAAACGTTTGAACGTTGCACTAACCCGCGCACGTCATGGCTTGCTCCTCCTGGGGCATGTGGCATCCCTTGCAAAGATCAACTCGTGGACAACGATCATCCAATGGGCCAACAGCAGACGGTCTGTCATTCAAGCTGCGCAGCTCAGCACATATCTTCCACCTTCATAATGGTATGTCTTCTTTAACTTTCTTTGAAGTCACATCCCGACCCCTTACGTCACCGCCTAAGTCCGAGGACGGACTTGTTGGTAAGTGGGGGAGGTGTAAGAGATCGGAAACTGTAGGAGATCGGAGATTATTCAAGAATGTAATATTATGACTCAGTCGTTCAGGGCGTGGTCGACGAGAAGCAAAGCTGAAGGAAAGGAGATTCATTGATGAGGCCTTTCAGCCACCGAGCGGCTGATGCCGCCTAAACCCCGAACTACCTGCACCATCTATTCAACCTCGTTGGACCTCTGAGATCCTTTCATATATTTTGGCCAATAAATCATTACCTATTGCAGTATTGTTGGTTACTTACAATAAATGATGATATACCACCGTGTCTCTACCGTTGAGTTAGCCGCTTCCACGGCGCTACGTTTACTCGATCAACAAAACTATTCGTCACCTCATAGCCCGCGGATGTACTGTCAACGATCAGGGGGTTGCTGAGCGCGTGCGTGACTTGTCGCAAATGAATAGACCTTCTCTCTGACAGTGATGATATCGGCCAGAATCTTCTGATGGGCGTTTTGCGAAATAAGATCGATCACCGCCTAAAATCTTAGAAATGGACACGCGAAATTTTTGCATTATGCTTAACATACCACATGAAAAACTGTGAAAAAGCTGTTTGCGCTTTTTGCAATCAGTTGCACAGGGTAGGATTCCATTTCGATTGAACCCCATTCTCGGCACCAGAACGGCACTTCCAAGTGCACATGTGGATCTGATATGCTTGTATTGCTGCGAAGGCAAGAGCAGCAAGCACGCTTACATATTCAGTAACTTGGAGGTAGAATAAACAAGCAGCAATCTCCTTATTGTCCAAACCGAAAGACCATTTTGGAGTCTGGCAACCTCAGATGACCGGCTAATCTTCTTTATGCGGTCGTTCCTCATTTGTACTTCCATGTCAACATTCGCTGATTCTGATGGTAGCCGAAGTGGATGAAGCCGACTTCAGCGGATGTTGACGCTTCTCCTGTTGGCTCCTTCCGCTAACACAAATATGACTCTGCAAAACATAAGATAGGGAGTTCCTTAATGGGTCAATTTTATAGAACAACGGTAACGCATAGAGGAAGGCCATATGACGCGCGCAATGTGGCAGCCTTGCACGGGTTTCTTTTATTAACTGATGTATCTCTCAACGTCTGTAGATCTGCGTTCTTGCCTTGCAAAGGCTTGCAACGCGTGTGATACGACTGTCGCAATGGGGGTCTTAAGAGAGACAGTTTGGATAAAGAAAAAGGTGGGTTTGGAAGAAACGAATAGTGTTATTACTAAAAAGATTCTTTGCAATGTCTTTATAGAATCTTGCGTATCAATTTAGTGATTGAGGAAGTGAGCAGGTGGGGCTGACCTGCTGGCCTAAAGTATAAAATCCAAAAAACACTTCGAAAAGTTCAGAACACTCTCAAAAGAAGCTATGTGTGATAAGAATGCGATAAATGAATGCTAATAATAAATGTACCGATTGGTTTGGAATTCTTAATTCCGTAGCCTCACTGAAGCCTCACACAGCCGACACAAGCTTATATCTCTGCCAACGATGACCATCAATAACTTGTAACTTTTTGAAATACTGTACCTTCAAAGTAATACTATATCTAGGCAAAAACTGGTTCTATTTTGTAAGCTGGAATTTTTTACGATATTATGTATGATAGCAAAAAATGAGAGGGGGAGGGGTCGCATTTAGGTCGCACAAATTTTTTTTCGGAGTATGGAAGCCTGTTGGCTACAATTTTGCTGTGATACGAGTCTATCTGCGCACTTTTATCCATTTCGGGCCGTTTTGTTGCTTCTCCATCTGAATTTGCAAGAATTGCATCTAGATTTTTTCGAGCTCACTGCTCCACACTGGCTGAAACTTTTTTATGGATAGTCTAAGCACTGTATTATAATATACAGCGTGTTCATTGCAGCCTCTCATCCTCTCGCTAACCTTAGTTACGAATTTTCAAAAAAAGTTGCACATGCAAATCTTGGCATTATTCTGCAAGGCGCTAAAACGGTCTTCTTCGCAGGAAACGGGTGCTGTGCAACTGGCAGAAAATAAGTTTTTTAGTTGCAAACACCCTTCAAGCTCCGTTAGCATTTTTTCTGCCTGCAAAAGAAGGTTCGCACAAGCGGATCGAACCCAAGACTATCATTATAGTCGAAAGCGTTCTAATCTCCAGAGCCACAATGATTGTTCAGTATAGTCACTTAAACACGAAGGCTGCATGATGAGGGGCAGAAGCAGTATCAAAGGCAGCGTCCAGGCAAGTCTGGACACATGGGGGTCTTACGTGGGTAGTTATGGGGCCCTAACTAAGCCGCTGCCCAACCGCAGCTCAGGTAGTGCTCTAACGGCTGAGATATACCCCTCAAAACTGGACCCCAGGATCGTATTTCGCATGGATTCATGGCGCAAAGCGTGGGTCCTTGTGCAAAACTGCCATGAATCCATGCGAATACGATCCTGGGAGCTACGATCCAGCTTGGAGCGTATTTCTCAGCCGTTAAAGGCAGTAGATCGGCAGAATGAGACAGGTGACAAAACAAGGTCATAGGGTAGGAGCCCCCATATGGAACCTATCGGCCAAAGTCCGATCATTCTGTGCCACTTCTGACCCCCGAAATTTCAACGCGAAAGCAGCGCTCATCTCCTGTATTCTCTGGCCCCGCCCACCATGGAATGGGCGGGATGGGACTTTGGCCGATAAGTTTCGTATGAGGGCTCCTAATCTGTGACCTTGTTTTGTCACGGGTCTCATTCTGCCAATGTACTTGCCTTTAATGAGTCACCTGCGCTGCCGCTTGGGTAGTGCTTTAGTTAGGGCCCAAAATTACTTTTCACGTAAAGTCTTCATAGGTCCAGATCTGCCTGGACGCTGCCTTTGAGTGAGCGGACGTGAACGTGACGCGTGGGTATCTTCACCGTTGTAAATCCTGCGCCTCATGCGCTCTGCGGCTAATAAGGTTGCGTTCGCGTCTGAAGATATTGCGCCTTCGTCATGAAGCAGCCTGCAGGGCTTATCAAACGCAGTGTCGCTTACATCTGTATCTCCACGCCTGTGCTAGACTTTGCGTCTCTTCCGCGAACATGCTCTCTAATCACTCTGCCACTCATATACAGGGCGAGCGTGGGAAAGGCGGAGCCTCAATCGACTGGAAGTGATTAGAGAGCATGTTCGCGGAAGAGACGCAGAGTCAAGCGCGGGAGTGCAGATGCTGATGCAAGCGACACTGCGTTTGATAAGCCCTGTATATGAGTTGTGCCAAGCACTTATAAATCGCAGAAGAACTCCTTACCTGTGGCTAAAAAATAGATTATCACAAAATAGTCAGTCATGTCGACTGAAACGATCGCGCCTTATTTCAGTTTTTCTTACTCTTCAGTTTTCCTAATCTCTGTTCGTAGATCGACGTCTAGGGTTACATGAATGCGGTATAGCCTAAAAGATGTCCTCATTTGTCAATCGGTGACGTATGCTGGGGTAAGGTCTATCGGCATTCTTTGAGGTGACATTCGCATGCAGGTTACCGCAAAAACCTGGAAATGGGGGAGTGGAGGGGGAGGTCGTGCGGATGGGTACCTTCAAGGGAATGGGTGGTTAAAAAAGGGCCCAGGGTCGCACCAACACGCTTGACCCTGCGCAACCACGACAGCGCATCCAGCGCAGCCACAGTGCGCGACTCCACGATCAACGAAACGTTCAGCGTGCGAGCGCATTTTTTTGCGGCGAGCAAGGCATGCTCATGAGCGGCACGTACTACAGTCGGACGTGCCTGCGACACATGTCGTGGACTACTACGGGTCAGTAATATCCGCGGAGGCGGCACCTTTGCACGAATACGAGTAAGCTTGATGGGTTTCATACGGAGTCTCGTAAGAATCGTCGTGCGTGCTAATTCAAGGTTGGGGCGGTGTTTCAGCTGCATGTGTGGGTAGGGAATCTCATCCGGTAGGAACCGGGCAGGGTGTAACCGGGTAAGTCTGCTACTGCCCAGGACCCCGCATGAGGGTGGCAAAATGGGCACCGGTAAACGCATTCGCCTTTGCCACTTTCAAGATTACGATCTCCAATCAAATCGCTCCACCTGCGAGATCGTTCTAAATTGTTCTTCGAGATAAATAGGGTATCAGAGAAGTGTGGCAGAGGAATAAAAATCAGGAGTAAAAGACACCATGTAAAGTAAATTTCTTCTGTTAAGTTTAGGCTTCAATTCATTAGCCAATGTGCCACTTTTTCAAAAGACTCTCCTTTGTATATTCGTTAAATAACTGGGAATTGTGAGTTCGCTGTTTTTTGGAACCTCGTGCGAACACGTGGCGTGACATTAGCTATTGAGTGTTATAAGAAGATTAATTTGGTATTATACACGAGAGTAGACGAAAATCTGAGCGTCGTCGCGGATTGCAACGAAAAAAGCTAATTCTGATTTTGTGAAAGTTTTGTCTTTGATAACAGACAATAGTAAAAGCTTCTTTACTTTTTTTACTAGGTTTCTGTGCACCTATCCATGTTTCTTTCACGACAGCAGTTTTGGAACAAAGGTTTGTTCTTGTTTCACTCAATTTTCGTAATCCCTATCTTATCTCATAATACTTCAGAAGAGACTTCAGTATAACTGTGAGAGAATCATGGAAGAATTCTTCCAGCAAATGCTCGAGACAATCTCGTAAAGGATCCTGGCTACACTATTCTGGAGAATGAAGCACATAGCATGCTTATGGTACATCAATTTGGAAAAATCTGTACTACAAATAACAGAGCCAAAGAAGATAATCGCAACAAAGCAACTCGGCTTTGATATGTCTCCAGGCGGAAAATATTGCATGAGTTTTCAAAGGTAGGTTCTGGCTATGGAGCATTGCAACACATCTCGGGTCACTCAAACAGAAAAATTATCATAAAGTCAACCATATGGTACATCTTATCTCCTGACATGCTAATTCCAAAAAAATGATTGATTCATGAAAAAAAAAACCGCTACGTAACACGCCGCTAATATGACAAGTTTAACGCCCGCTCAACTAAAAGGAAAAATTCAATTCTTATCTAAGTTTTTCCATACTTTGACCTTGACCTCAATATAAAAGCGCAGACACATGGTTTGAATGTATACTTGATTTTCTATCTGTCGTTTCGTTCCTTTGTTGCGATCGAGATTCCAGGTATACTCGAGTGTAAACCATGGGTAAAGCAGTCTTGCTATTGTTTCTTGTGGTGCAGTGCTACGGTATGTCTTTTGAGTCTCTCAAAGAAATTGCTTCAAGACCCCGTAGAAGCAAACTTACAATTATACAGCAGCAATTTCGATTTGCAGTTTCTTGTACTTTATACCAATAGTTGTAAAGAGCAAAGAAATGCGGTTCTGTAAGCAAGATGAGCTCTATGTAGTCAAAAAGCAGAATAACTAAATTTTCACAGAAGCCAAAAAACAGTTCAGCAAATGAGTCGAGCTAAAAAATTATTCAACTTACTATGGTATCAGGGCTGTCATCAAATTCGACTTTTACCGAATTCTTTAAGCTCTAAGCGAGCAGGGATTTATCGGAAGAGCCGCAAACCATTTTCTGGGATTGTTCAACCGCTTTTTCCAACGTGGGCAAAATGCAGGTGGCAATATCCAGGTAAGAACTTCAGGATTAGTTAAGGCTGAGGTCACAAAAAAGAGTCACCATTGTTTGTCCCTTAATTTCGAAAATATAAACGTTCGATTACAGCCTCTTGTTGACAAAATGCTTGAAGCCGATATCTATAAGGCTGGACCTAACGACTATAAGGTTAATTACGGTAATCCAGCGTCCGGGACAAAGGACCAGAGTAAAAATGAGTACGTCTATAGTTATCTATATAACTTTCATAGATGCTTGAGCAAAAATATCTTTAGTCTTTTCTATGACGTAAACGAAGCAATCTTCAAACAGCCAGTTTACGACGTTTTAATAAAGCTAGTTGAAAATGGAGTGTTCTACAATGATGTGAGTTCAATAGAAGGCTAGAATTTTGAATTATTGAATTTCCTAAAATGCGCAGGTCTGCGAGACAGAAAAGCCCATGGATGGTTTTCGGAAGACACAAATTCAGAAACTGCTTGATACCTGGACAGACACAAAAGTTTTCAAATTAGCTTATGAATACCTGCACTCTAAGAGTACGCTCTCCCATCTTAGTGGCTTAAAGAACTGAAGTGGATTTGCAGATGAGCCACATTCGACCACATTTGCGCAGCTGAAAGAGTTCCTTTTCAACTTCTGGTTTGGAACATATTCTCGTTGCAAAGGGACTATGGGAAGTTCTGGTAGGACTCATACAGTATCAAATCCGTCTCTGGTAATCTTTGTCAACGCCTTTTAGGTTTTGAGCATGTCTTCACTGGAGAATGGAAGAAGGGAACTGTTGGAGGGCATCACAGCTGGGTTACCTACTACTTAGCACAGAAGAAGGGAAAGATCAATTATCACGGATATTACACAAAAAGAGGGGTCCGCTTACTAAAACTTCGTGGCGCTTATTCGCGAGAGAAGTTGACAGTCGTTTTAGATCACTACGGGAACCTTCCAATACAAATGGCAATCCTATATGAAGAAGAAGGGCGGCATGCTCTTTGGAACGTCCCCAGGTGATTTTTCTCAAAACATAGCTTGTTAATTATGGACGGTGTTCCTATTCAGTCTAGTTGCTCAAGATCAAGTACTCAGACAATCGCCGGGGGCAGGCGGGCGCCGGAACATACGTGTTGCTGAAATTTCGCATTCCGCTCGCAAGTTCCAAGATAACGTTCAGTTTTTGAGAGACCGCCTGTTGAATTTTTTTCGCTCTTATCTTTTGCAGATATATTGCTGAATCTCTGAAGAATCGAGAAATCAGCAAGCGGCATCCCGAAAAGTCCCGATTGCTTTCCAAAAGATCCGCGAGCGGGGTGCGAGGCCATCTATTTTTCTGGTGCCCGCCTGTCCCCGGCGATTGCCTGAGTATTGTAGAAGTTAGCTTTAACCTTTGATTAAACTGCATTGGCGGCTGAAAGGCGGGGCTATGTGACTTAACTGAGGCCGTGCGCGCCCGCGACGCAGTCTGCGTCTCTCTCGCTCTTGTGCCCACTGATCATTCTCTAGCCTTGACTAGCTCATGAAGCCCCGCCTTCCAGCCGCCCATCCACTTGAATCAAAGGGTAAGAGTCAGGAGCCGCAAATCAATTTAAGCTGAGCCTCAAATAAACTAAAATACAAAATCAAAACTCAATTATTATTTTCAGCTTTCGACTTCTCTCTGTTTACCGTTTGTGCGTTGTTGCATCCGGGAGCAAATACATGTAGGTACAGCATCAATAACGTACCTTTGGCAGTCACCTCGTACACGCAAAGCTGCAACGCTGGAACGTGCCTTTCAACCGCATATCCCACAAATGATTGATATCTTTGGATCAATGTTATAAATCTCGTGGATATATTCAAATAAATTCTGCGCATTTACTGAAATGTTCTAATTTCATGACGTAGAAACCATACGCAAAGAAAAACCCGAAAATGCGGAAGGAAAATGTAATGAAAACGATTACGCAAGCACGACAAAGCAAGAAACGGCAAAAGCATGTTTTGAAATGGAAGCCTGTGTATAACCTCAAGGGCTAATTGACTGCATCAATTTCGGAGATTCCGGACGCTTAGATTTTATGGAATATATTAGGTTGTCCCGAAAGTTTTGTCGGTTTTTTCAGACCACTGTAAAATCACGCACAATAAAGACCTGAGTGAGTTTCAACATGCATTCGATGCAGCTTTTCCTTCTCTTTCTTACGAATGCACTTTCATACCATAATGCTATATGGTTTCTTTGGTAATTGCCGAAATTCTCCACCTGTCAATTTTGCCTGCTCAGAATTGAGCTAATTTTTAAAAATTTCGTTACGAAGTTTCGAAAAAGATCAAGCATGTATCAAATACAGCAACCCTCGGGCTACAAGATGGTCTAGATTCTCCTAGTTTGCTGATTTTGACTTCAAAAAATTATTTTTTTCTGAGGTCTCGATTTTTGGCTAAGTCATGAAACGGGCAATTGCAGCAAAAGCATGAAAGCTTTGAAGTTTTTGCGAATTCAAACTTGATTGTTATTAAACATCATTTATGCAATATAACCAAGTTTGATTTGCTTCAAAAATCAACTTTTTGGAATTTTCGCTAATTTTACGTGGTAAAACTGTTCAAAAAGCCGGGGTTTTTCTCAAATAAATAATTATTACGGACTTGATAAACGTGGCCCACGTAATCTAAAATAGCCACAATGTAGCCAAAGGTTTGCCCTACATAAAAGTCACCAGCGCTCTTCGAAAATATCAAGATAAAAATTTTGAAAATTCAGGAAAGTTTTGGCGTTACTGCTGAGGTGCTCAAAAAGCCATGGCGATAACATCGCAAAGACGGGGTAGATCAGGGAACAAATATAGCTATAAGAAAGAGGACAAAAATATGAATAGAATGACAACTAGGCCGTTTATGAAATGGTGTTCTGTGAGGTTTGGTGAGCGATGAAAACCGACAAAACTTTCGGGACAACCTAATATTATACAAATATAAAAATATATTGTATCGATTGATATAATGTATTAGCAATGCAGTTTGGGAAGTTGCAGAAAAACACTTTGCTCTATTCTCCCGAACCTCAATGTCTCGACTGACGTCACTTCGAGCGGACCGTCCCATGCCCCGCCTTACATGCTCAGATAGTCGCCGAGGGCAAGCGGACCACGAACTCGCGCTTTCTTGCAAGCGGTCAGCCAAATTTTGGAGCGTGGTCAAACCTTCATCGATCGGTACTTCCTTCATTGAGGCATGTTCTGCCAGCGGAGAGCATAGCAGAATTTCCTGCCAGCGCCATCAAATAATTACTTTCAGTGAGTGCTCTGTTCATGTTATGCAGTTTCGGGCGGACGCCGAGCAAAGGTAATAGAACTCCGCATGGCAAAGGTGTCGTCGTTGTTAAGTCACCCAATTTGTCTATTCTATTTTAAGTCCACGAGAATGCGGCTAAGGCGCAACTAAGCCGTATAAAAATTGCGATTGTTCCTTGAGCTTAGTCTAGAATGTGGGCAAATCTTTTCCAAATATCTACAAGCGGACCACCAGAATTCAGTGATCTATTCTCCGTTGCGCGCTTGCTATAAATCGCTTGGATTATTCTCGGAGGTTTTCTGAGTGGCAGCTCCAATAGTCAAGCGTCGATTGCATTAACATCCTCGCCGGGGAGGGGATCGCGGCTTAACATAAATCTTCATATTCTGAAGTTCCAGATATGTGGATTTCACGCTGTCTGCACTCTGTAAATATCAACCATCCTTCACTATGAACCAGTGGCGTACCGGGGGGGGGGGGGAGAACTGGGGGTCCCCCCGAGAACAGGTCGCAAAATTCTTAAAGGTTACTTACATGGGCTATAAAATTGTGCAAATGACTTGTCTGCACTTGTAGATAATTAAAATAATTTTTAGAAATTTTTAAAAATTCATTTTAGCCTTAGGCTGACGCCACGTCCCCTTTTTCTAAGATTTCGAGGTTCTGAGCCCGCGAAAATTTTTTGAAGCGTACCAAAAAAAATTTCGGAGTGCGTCCCCCCCCCCCCGAGCCGAAATTTTGGGTACGCCACTGCTATGAACATGTATCGAACGGGAGTTCCAGCTTTTTGTATGATCCCCTGATGATTCCCTACGGCCGTAGGTCTTTTGTTCGAAGTCATTTCTCTTTCCTCGAGGATAACGAAAGGCGTCCAAAGTTTAGTTATCTAACCCATCATTGTTAAGTATGTTGCTGATAAGAACAAAGTATGTATTGCAGTCACGAAATCTGCGACAAACCATAAGTCGAAACTTGGGGTTTATGGAAAAATTCGATTTTTCAAAAACTCGTTTGCTCTTATCAACAGCATGCTTAGCACTGTTAAATAATCCGCAAACTTTGAAAGATTTTCGTTGACATCGAAATAAGAAAAATGATTCTGAAGAAAAGACGGTCGGACGCCGGGGATCATCAGGGGATCATACAAAAAGCTGAAAATGTGATTTGTGCAGTGAAATAGTGGGAATATTTGTAGATATGTAGACAGCGTGAAGTCCAGATATCTAGGGCTTCAGAATATGAAGCTTTCTTTGAGCTGTGATCTTCTCTTTAGCGGGGACGGGCATGCCTGCCATGCGGCCCTAAGGGTGTTCCCTGGAACCCCAAAAGATTTTCGGCCCAGCGGAGGAATCCTAGTGAGTGTGCCCCTCCATTTTCCGAGTGTGATTAAATTCGAAGTTTGCTTATTTACAGTCGTCATATAAACGTAGATCATAAAAGGAGGAAAAAGGACAGGAAGGGAGACCGCGCTGCCAGCAAGAATTTTAGGTTCCTTCCTTTTGAACGCAGATCAACGAGCCGACAGTATAGCTACATCTTGACATGTTTATTTGAAGATAAAAGAAGTCGAATACTCCAATAACGTCAGCAGTGAGCCATCAGTAAAAATGCAGTGTCCTGAAAATTTGGTCCTTTCCTTCAACCATATACGCCAAGAGAAAACTATTGGACTGACTTGTTGAATCACATGTCTTACTTGTTAACAAGTGCTCTTCAAGCTCAAGTTCACCGTCACACCTTCCTTATTTGGCTGTGGTGGCAAATATTTGCTCCAACCAAGTGGTGATTTTTCTTTCGATTATAACAGTCAGTTTGAGTTTCCTATGCAAAGACTTCAGGTTTTTCTAAGGGAGTAGCTTGCCTGTCATGTATTTTTCTTGAAATTCGTCCATGACTGCTTTCGGCAATTCACATTAGCGCTGATCACATTTATTTGCTTCTTGGGCAACAGAACTCACTTGTATTTTTGCAAGATTTTGAGCAATCAGTATGTACATCAGCCTCAATGTAGTCGATAATCAGAATGCAACGACACGTGGATCGAAAAGCTTTTTTCTTCTCGCGTTTCCATACAATGGCCTTTTGAACGAGTCGTTCATTTTCAATAGCTTATAAAGTTTTTTACTGAAATTTCCGCTGTAGTCCTCTTATAATCCCATTTTTGCTACTTTTCTATAACAATCATAGGTCACCATGCTTGGTAATGCACCAAGATGAACTTCAAGATATTTGAAATCACATTTTACCCGTTAGAAGTGTGCGTATCGTTAATGCGTAAAAATGCTCTTATCTACTGCTCTTTCAACCATCTGGAATAATTTGCATGAAAAGCGGTTGAGGCTTCAAATAACGGTAATACTATTTTGTTCCAAAATTTCTGTGTTTTGCAGATTTTCTGATTTTCCGTAAAATATTGTTACTTTCGATAACATTTTTAACCATTTTAACTTTTCTATGAGCACGTTTTAGCCTTTCGTAAGAATAATTCGATATGTAACAAATGTCAAGGGAAGTGTGTTTAGTCGAAGTAGCCGTTCCAGATGAGACCACCGCTTGGAAGAGCTCTAAACGATGATTCCAAATCTGCCTTCCGAATCTGCCAAGCGCCTCTGGACGCCGAGTTACGGGCGTTTTTCAGGTCAAAAAATGAACGCAAAACTGAAGCAAAATCGCCCAAATTTGCTGGCCCACTGTCGAGACGAGGAAGTGTGGCAGAGAAAACGAGCGGTAAGAACAGGTTCGGAGTGACTTTCTTCGGCTAGCAATAGTTTGGGCTCACTCACTCATAAGCTAACGGGACACATTTCCAAAAGGCTCTGCTTTCTATGTGCGCCAACCAAATGAGAACGCTAAGTCGGATGGCAGTTTTTTGGTACCACATGGATGACACGTTGCGTGACAATAGCTATTCATGTTTTAAGACGATTATTCAAGCATTATACGTAAGATTAGGTGAAAATCTAACGCCGTCGCGGAGTGCATTAAAAAAATGATGTGACGTGAAATCTTCTTTGATAGGATGGCAATTCCCACAAAGTGAATGGCCACATTCTAGTCGCAAAACAGGTGCATCACTCCTACTGCAACAAACTCTGGTCATTATGAAAAGGATATTATCACAGTCGAGTAGATTTTCCTCCTAATATAGTGTGCTTGTACTGAGTTGAAATGCGATAAAATTTGCACGTGAACAAATAGTCACACCAGTAATGCCGGTATTTTGCGCGCGCAAGTGGACAACACCACACAGATAGCTATCTGTTCACGCGCAAATTTTACCACATCACCTGCAGTGCAAGCACACTATATAGAGCGGAAAATCAACCCGACTGTGCCTCAGAAGTGATCTGTTACATAGAAAGGACGCCACGCCTTTCTGTGCGGATAGCGCAAACTTTTCTTACATTTAGCGCCGGTAATGACTTTCATTTCAATAAAACTCAAATGTTAGCACACTTAATACTGATAATGGGGGAGGGGAAGGGGGGGGGGGATGCAGGGATGAATGTGGCCGAAAGTGGGTGGTCCCACGCGGACATCTGCAACAAAGTATTAGGTCGTTCCGTAAATTCGTAGCGTTTTTATTTTCGTACTCATATCTTTGAGGAGCGGTTGATTTGCGGCGGAACGCATATATCATTTGGAAGAACTGATTGTGCTTTTTGAAATACATCTACTGATTTCGGTGGAAAGCTGATTCACTCGGATCTCGCAGCTTCCAAAGATGGAAATTTTGAAAGGCAAAAAGGAGCAATTTTGGCATTTGCGCCTTTTTCGTTATGAAAAGAAGCGTTTTTGCACAGATTTTTGTGTCGATTATGTAACGTGGCGTTTGTTCATCAATATAAGGCAAAAAAGAATTGCATTGGCACAAAAGAGCAGGAGCTGAGCAGGATGTCCCTGAACAAGACTTTTCGGGGGACGGGCAGGACGTCCTGCACTGAATATTGCTGGACAAGTAGGCGACGGTCAACCACGCCATAAGCAATCCAAATGCACGGTGTAAATCAGGTCCTACCGCAGAAAAAGCCTAACAGACAAATCCAGTGAGTTTTTCTGCATGACGAAACATGGCCTCATACGGCAAACGTCGTCAAAACTCTCCTGCACGACTCGAGTGGAAGGTACTTCAGTACCCAAAATACTCTCCACACCTCACTCTGCCAGATTATCATTTGCTCCGCTCTCTGGCAAACCTCATGAATTATGCATGTCTCGATTTCAGTAAGCAACTTGAGCGCTGGCTAGATGACTTTCTTGGGACCCGGCGCGCTGCCGTTTGAAAAACTGAGGTTGAGAAGCTAACAAGAATGTGCCAAAAGGTTGTGCGTTACAACCAGGAATATAATTTTGAGTGATTTTTACTGTAAATTGATGATTTTGTGGTTTATAAAAACGCTATGAACTTATGGAACGACCTAATATCACGCAGCTCCACGTATTAGAGATAAAACGGAATTGTACCGGCTGTCGGCGCGAGACTTATGGGACTTATCGGCGTCATATCTCCGACTCATAATAGGGTTGTCAAAAAGTACTTGAGAATAACTACAGCGATAGTTGTGAGAACATATCATCCTGTTCAAAAAACTTTTAATACCTTCAGCGAGCGTAGTAATCTTGATAACTGCTAAACCACGAAGTTACCCACTTCGAGCAATTGTGAACTTTCGTTAGTATCTTGAAATATGTGCGGCCACCCAAAGTATCAGTGCTGCACTGGGAAAGAGGCCCGTAGTAAACCCCCACTCATCTCAGGTGACTTGAGATTAATCATTCAGAAGAACTTCCTAAGACGAACCTAATCCCGCCCATCTTCCCGTGCTCAAAGATAGTCAGTTAAACAGTCAGAAGACTGTCCGATCAAGCGTCACAGTTATTTCACCAAAATGCCACTTATCCGAGGTTGAATTTTAGGGTGACCCAAGAGAGAGATTGTGTGCAAAAGAGGAGAATCAGACAAATTCCGCGTCAGTTGCTCGTGAGTAACTTACGGGACAATTTAGCTGACGTATTGTTGCGGTACGAGAACGCGCAAAACTGCAGAACCGGTGCCTAAAAAGGAAAGGATCAATGAACAGCTGATTTCGGGAGAAAACAAGAAAAGTTCTTTTTTCCATTTTTTGCCGAGCAAACGCACATGCTCTTTACGTCTAGAAGCTATTGATCAGGATGCGTCTATGCATCCTGGTCAATAGTTCACCGGACGCCGGACCGAGGCGCTCTACGTTCAACATAGGCCCGCCCCCAGCCGTGTTGGGCTGAACAGGGGTTTACTACGGGCCAGAGTCTGTCACCAAATCAACGGACTTTGATGGAGACTTGTAGTCACGAGCAGTTCCGTGGACACTTATTACTTTTTGCATATGGAATCAAACTTTATGGTTATCACCTGAAAGAGCTTCCACGCTCTATCCATTTATATGCAACTTACCTCAATTTCATTTAACTCTAGAAAGTAAGGCTGAAACACGTTCCTTGGGGATTTTGTTTATTAGATCAAATAATTCCACTGCACAAAATCTTCGTCCGAATCCTTAGACATTTTAGGTTTTCTCCTAAGCCTTACACCAGCTTCTTCAAATTCGTAAAAGCGCCAGATCTCTTCAAAATGCGTTTCTTTCTTACTGAAACAAATCAACCTCTGGCAGTAATTCAGGTACGGTTTCGGACCGTTGTGATCTAGATTGCGAATGGCTTCATTTCTGCTTGCTTATTAATTCTCGAATTTCACTATTTTCAGAAAAAATGCTTGTATTTTTTGTGTTTCGTGAAGCGAGCGGTTTATGCCAGTCTGTAGCTCACATTATAGTCCACACATTATCTATAAATTGGGCGCCAATAGAAGAAAGCGAATAGTCAGGAGACAATTACAAAACCTGGTTAACGACGTAATGATTTTCGACGAACTCCTTTGCTAGCTATGCTTTGTGAGCAGGGCTCGGCACGACGTGGCACCAAGGAGTTCTCAAAACGAAGTCCCTGACTTTCATCAAATTTTACGAAGTCCCCTTTGACTCTAAACTCTAAACGTAACCCTTAAAACGGAACGTCGACTAAAAATATTCATCTTTTCAACCACAAAAACGATATTCCCCTTGCTTTTGTCCCAAAAATGATATCCACCTTGCCCCGTGCCAGCTACTGTCAAGCCCTGTTTGTGAGGTAATCAGTTGATACTGGCTTGGCACCAAAGCTCATTTTAATTTCTAAAAGGTCAAAGCTTGTGGAGATGTGAACTGATTTGCATGGTTCTGATTTTGTTGAGAAAAAAATCTTTTTCTTTGGAAAGGCAGTCGGTCAGCTTATTACTGTAAATAGCTCTCGGAAGAATATTATCACAAAACGGAGCCCGTAATTTTCAGACTGTGCAACCATAATTAGTACGTAATTCTTGTAACTGTTTAGAATATGGATCGCGATAACTACGAAACGCTCATGAATTTGCATGAAATTTGAGACATGCTCTTCCTATATGTGCAGACTTTTGCCGATCGAAGGTCTCCATATATTATCTGAGCGCCAAAAACGTGTACAAAATAAGAAGAAAAGTCAGAATAATGCTTGGGACAGTTGTTTACTTAGCGCACTAAATCAAGCGGATCAGGTCTTCTTCTGAATGTTTTTCTGCGTAACATCCAGAAATCTTTCCTAAGAGATGCACAATCCGATAATAAATATTTTAGAAGAATCTTCACTTTAATAAAAGGCCAAAGAAGTTAATCACACCAAAGTATTCGCTTCGATATGTCTTTGGAAAAAAGATACTGCGTATGTTCTCTGAGGTAGGTTTTGATTACAGTTGCATCACATGTCGGGTCAATCGAACAGAATGTTACCTCACATAGTGTCAACCATTTATCTCCTTATTTGATATATTGTTGATATTAATCTGGCAAGATTAGCGACTAGCGATAAAATTCAGAGAATCAACTCGACTCAAATCATAAGAATTAAATTTTGATCTGAATTTTCATACTTTGACCGTGACCTCAATATAAAACGCAGTCACTTGTTAGAGATGTAATCTCAACTTTCCTTGCAATTTCCTTCCCTTGTACAAATTTTGTTTTACAGGTATACAAGTATAAACTATGGGTAAAGCAGTCTTACTACTATTTCTCGTGGTGCAATGCTACGGTATGTCTTTTAAGTCTCTCAAAGAAATTGCTCCAAGACCCCGTAGAAGCAAACTTACAATTACCAGCAGCAAGTTCGATTTGCAGTTTCTTGTACTTTATACCAATAGTTGCAAAGAGCAAAGAAATGCGGTTCTGTAAGCAAGATGCGCTCTATGTAATCAAAAAGCAGAATAACTAAATTTTCACAGAAGCCAAAAAACAGTTCAGCAAATGAGTCGAGCTAAAAAATCATTCAACTTACTACGGTATCAGGGCTGTCATCAAATTCGACTTTTACCGAATTCTTTAAGCTCTAAGCGAGCAGGGATTTATCGGAAGAGCCGCAAACCATTTTCTGGGATTGTTCAACCGCTTTTTCCAACGTGGGCAAAATGCAGGTGGCAATATCCAGGTAAGAACTTCAGGATTAGTTAAGGCTGAGGTCACAAAAAAGAGTCACCATTGTTTGTCCCTTAATTTCGAAAATATAAAGGTTCGATTATAGCCTCTCGTTGACAAAATGCTTGAAGCCGATATCTATAAGGCTGGACCTAAAGACTACAAGATCAATTACGGTAACCCAGTGTCCGGGACAACGGACCAGAGTACGAATGAGTACGTCCGTTGATGACTATATAACCCTCACATACCCATGTCAAACGACAATATCTTTAGTCTATTCTACGACGTGAATGAATCCATCTTCCAACAGCCAGTCTATGATGTTTTGGTAAAACTAGTCAAAAATGGAGTGTTCTACAACGATGTATGTTTGTAAAAGAGCAAGAGTTCGCAACTTTGGGCCATGAATTGTCAGGTCTGTGAACAAGAGAAACCGATGACCGGTATTCGAAAGGCACATGTCCAGCTACTGCTCGACACCTGGACAGACACAAAAGTTTTCAGATTAGCTTATGATTACATGCACGCTAAGAGTACGTTCTCCCATCTGAATGGCTTAAAAAACTAAAGTGGTCTTGCAGATGAGCCACATTCGACCTCATTTGAGAAGCTGAAAGAGTTCCTTTTCAACTTTTGGTTTGGAACATATTCTCGTTGCAGAGGAACAATGGGGAGCTCTGGTAAAATTCTCAAAGAATTGATTTCAATTCAAAATCGTTACGGTAAGCTTATGTATCAAGCCTTTGCAGGATTTGAGCATGTCTTCACTGGAGAATGGAAACAGGGTACTGTTGGAGGGCATCACAATTGGGTTACCTATTATCTAGCACAGAAGGCGGGAAAGATCAACTATTACGGATATTACACAAAAAGAGGGGTCCGTTCACTAAAACTTTGTGACATTCACTTACGAGGAGAAGTTGATGAACAGTCGTTCTAGATCACCACGGGAACCTTCCAATACAAATGGCAATCCTATATGAAGGAGAAGGGCGGCATGCTGTTTGGAACCTCCCCAGGTGATTTTTCCCACAACATAGTTTGTTACTTATAAATGATTATTCTTATTCTAGTTGCAGATCAAGTAAATTTAAAAGTTAGCTTTAGGAGTTAGGAGCCTCAAAATAATCAAGATTTTAGATCAAAAACAACCTATTATTTTCAGCTTTCGACTTCTCTCTGTTTACCGTCTGCACGTTGTTGCACCGAGGAGCAAATACATGTAAATTCAGCATCAATGGCATACCTTTGGCAGTCACCTCATACACGCAAAGATGCGACAATGGAAAGCTGTGCCTTGCAACCGCATATCCCACAAATTAATTTCTTAAAATCCTATTTCAATTATAATTTTGGGGTTTGGCTCACATGTCATAAATCTGGTATGTATATTCAAGTAAATTTTGCGCATTCACATGTAAAATGTTTTAATGTCATGACGTAGAAACCCGAAAACGCGAAAGAAAAACACGAAAATGCGGAAGGAAAACGTAATGAAAACGATTACGCAAGTATGAGAAACGGCAAGAGCATGTTTCGAAATGGAAGCCTGCGTATAACCTTAACTAATGCTTACTTAGATATTAGGTTGTGACATAAGTCTTGTTACACTTAACTTCTAACGGCGATAAGTCATACACCTCATAGTCTTTGCAGGACTCCAAGGTACCATTCGATAGAGCAAAGCAAGCTCTACAAGATGGTCTGCAAAAGTTCGCACCAGCTCCGACCCACCGTAAGTTTGCGCCCAAAATCTGAGTTGTACTGAAATTCAAAAAATCGCGAAAAATTCATATCTTTGTTCAAACAAATCCTACGGATCTCCAACTTGCTCACAAAAATTGCCCGCTGTATCAAACACTCATATGTACCGTTGCTGTATTTTTTCCTTATCTAGAAATCGAGAAAAAAAATTTTTTTTTAGTTTTTACAAAAATGAAGCTATGCTGTTTCTATTCATGTAGCTGTATACTACAAGCCCTTAGAAGTATAACCGTAAATTTTCAGCTTCCCAGAAGCCGTAGTTTTCGACAATTACCTAATTTAGCATTGAACACCCGAGTGATAAAAGCTAAATTTGGTATTTTTCAAAAACCAGAGCTTCTGAAAAGGTGAAAATTTACGGTTATACTTCTAAGGGCTTGTAGTATACAGCTACATGAATAGAAACAGCATAGCTTCATTTTTGTAAAAACTAAAAAAAAATTTTTTTCTCGATTTCTAGATAAGGAAAAAATACAGCAACGGTACATATGAGTGTTTGATACAGCGGGCAATTTTTGTGAGCAAGTTGGAGATCCGTAGGATTTGTTTGAACAAAGATATGAATTTTTCGCGATTTTTTGAATTTCAGTACGACTCAGATTTTGGGCGCAAACTTACGGTGGGTCGGAGCTGGTGCGAACTTTTGCAGACCATCTTGTAGAGCTTGCTTTGCTCTATCGAATGGTACCTTGGAGTCCTGCAAAGACTATGAGGTGTATGACTTATCGCCGTTAGAAGTTAAGTGTAACAAGACTTATGTCACAACCTAATACTTAGTTGGCCCATCCTCACGTGACGTGCGAGCCCCAGTACAGATGTTGCCATTGATCCCTGTCCCTCGCTTCGGACATCCACGATCTTCTTGGTCGTCGTCGGTGGCTGCGTCCACGAGTTCCAGGGGCGAGAATCGTATCCAGCTGATTTCTCAGCTGGTCCATCCGTTCCACGAACACGTCTGCCCATCTTGTCGGTGGTCTTCCTCGAGGACGTTTGGCTTCGCGAGGAATCCACTCAGATGTTCTTACTGTCCATCTATCGTCCGTTCTTCTCATTATGTGACCATCGGTATTTCGCTTTCGCAACGTAATCCGCTGGGTCACGAAGACGGGACATTCTTCTCATATCCGTGCTGCGAAGTCCGCTAGATGTTGCTTGTGTCGGGTCATCTTCAGAAGACTGCGCTCGAGCGCTCTGTGGGTGGTTCTTAAAGCTTTCGATGTGGCTACGGTGTCGGACCAAGTCTCAGCTGCGTAGCAGAGCGCTGGGAGAACGGTTGGGTCGAACGGGTGGGCGCGAAGCTTCGGGTCGGTTGGTCGGTGGCTTCCTTCAGAGGCCCGAAGGCGGCCCAGGCTGCTCTTCTTCTCCTGTTAAGTTCTTCCCTCAAGTCGTTCTCCATGTTCATCGAACGTCCGAATACATAAGAAGACGTCTCCATGATAGGATTGCCTTCCAATTCCATTTCTGCATCTTCCCAAAGGGCGTTCTTCATGAACTGGGTCTTTTTCCGATTTATTCGCAGTCCGATCTTCTTCCCTACTTCGTTTAGTTCCTTCAGCATCGCCTCTGCTTCAGTGATACTGCTCGAAAAAAGGACGATGTCATCCGCAAAACGAAGGTTGGATAGGAATCCCGCATCAACTCGTATGCCTCTCTCTTCCCAGTCTAGTGACTTCATCATCACCACTGCAAGGCCGCCGTTGTAGGTGCAGAGCATGAGGCAGTCTCCGTGGCATGTCGTCCGGACAGACGTGTCGTTTTTGTCCAATCCAAAAGGCGCCCTGAGGACCCTGACATCAGTTTTGCTACCACCCGGCGCCGTAGGCGGGATCCGATGTGCAGGGTTTCTTTCTATTCTTCTGACTGGTAGAGTAGTGAAATTTTTACCCTACAAGAGCAGACTTACTAGGCCAACTCTTGATTTCCACGGGGCGATCGCTGACCTCGGGCTTGTAGCGGGGAGAACCGCCTAGCGACCTGAAAACCAGACGGCGGTGGATCTGGCCTGGTCGGCTCTTAGCTAGGCATCCGGCCGAAACCAAACGTCAAACTCCTTCACAGCTTGGGAGACCCTGCCAGAGTATACACTCGGCTGTGCATCGCAATTCTGCACCCAGTGCCACGATGAGGCGGCCGACCATTGTGGGGGTAATGGCTAATTGACTACATCAATTTCGGAAATCCCGGATGCTTAGATTTTATAGCTTAAATATAAAGCTGAATGTCTGTTTGTATGTCTGTCTGTCTGTCTGTATGTCTGTCTGTCTGTGTGTACGTATGTTCCGAATAGAAAATTCCATTTCTGAACCGATCCGGACCAAATTTTGCACACCTACACTTCGGGGCCGGGTGGGTGCCATAGGCTATTTTCGTCATCGCGATATCGATTTTATTCATTTTTCAAAAAGTTCGAGCTGCGGGGTTTGGAGTTGGCACAGAGGGGTAAGTGAGCATTGATTACGAATATAGTATTGACAGGATCGAGTGGAGCCGGGTTTGCCAGCTAGTATATTATATAATACATATGAATATTTATTGATTGATATAATATATTAGCAATTCAGTTTGGGAGGTTGCAGAAAAACGCTTTGCTCTATTCTCCCGAACCTCAATGTCTCGACTGACGTCCTTGAGCGGACCATCCCATGCCCTACCTTACATGCTCAGATAGTTGCCGAGGGCAAGCGGGCCACGAACTCGCGCTTTTTTAAAAGCGGTCAGCCAAATTTTGGAGCGTGGTCAAACCTTTAGCGACCGATACTTCTCTCATTGACGCATGTTCTGCCAGCGGGAAGCAAAGCAGAATTTCCTGCGAGCGCCCGTCAAATAACTATCTTCCGCGAGCGCTCTGTCTCTTGTTACATAGTTTCGCGTACGCCGAGCAAAAGTAGCGCTCCACATGGCAAAGAAGTCGTCGCTTTTAAGTTACCCAATTCGCATATTCTCGCGGAAAGTCCACGAGAATGCGGCTACTGCACCACAAACTAATCTGAGCATTAGTCTAAAAAGTGGCCAACTCTCTTCCAAACATCTGCAAGCGGACCGCAAGAATTCAGTGATCTATTTTCCGGTGCCCGCTTGCTATAAACCGCATAGTCTACCCCCGGCGAGTCTCTTAGTGGCAGCTCTAATAGTTAAGAGCCGAGCATTAACATCTCGGGATGTTAACGCATTCGGGCTCGAGCTTAAAAGAAAGCTTTGTATCCTGAACGATAGTGCGATAAGATGAGAATGACCCCTCCAGAGTGAAGGGGGTCACAGCGGTCGCAGCCCCTCCGGGTGAAGGGTGTTTCAGTCAATCAAGAAATCGTAAAATGTCGGCCGGGGGAGGGGGTGGGGGGGGGGGGGGGGAAGTGGGAAGGGGGGAAGTGGTGGTCTCAATTTCTTCTTCATACGAAAGTTTGTTTGCTTGAATGTAAGTAATTTTGTAATTTTCAAGCACTTACGAATTTCCTAAAAGAAGAAATCCGTAATTTCTGTAGATGAACAGCAAGTCAGCAAGGGAAATGTTTTTAAAACCATCTTGTCTTCCGCTTTTAGAGAATACATAGTTTGCCTGGAGTCTGTTGAAGAAGTGCCTGGTGAAGAGTGTGGGTAGTGATTGCTGGATATTTTCGAGTTTTTAAAATAATACATAACTTTTGTAGATGGACATCTTGTACATCGGTGTCACCATTAGAACCGTCTGGTCTCCGCTTAGAAAATGTACAAATTGCCTGGAGACCGTCAAAAAAAAGTACCTGGGTGAAGGGTGTCTTAGTGATTTTTGGAGATTTTCGAGTTTTTAAATTAAAAAAATTCATAACTTTTGCAGATGAACCTCTTGTACATCGCAATGGTCACCATTGGGACCGTCTCGCCCTCCGCTTTGATAAAATATATACTTTGCCTGGGGTTCGCTACAAAAAGTGCCGGTTGAAGGGTGGGTGAGACTCTTATAATGGGAGTGCTCAAGTGGAGGCTTTTTAACCATTGTAAGAAGACGTCTACTTGAGCACTCCCATTATAAGAGTCTCACCCACCCTTCACCCGGCCCTTTTGTAGCGAACCCCAGGCAAAGTATACATTTTCTGAAAGCGGAGTGCGAGACGGTTCCAATGGTGGCCATTGCGATGTAAAAGAGGTTCATCTGCAAAAGTTATGAATTTTTTTACTTTAAAAACTCGAAAGTCTCCAGAAATCACTAGGACACCCTTCACCTAGGTACTTTTTCGAATGGATTCCAGGCAACTGGTATATTTTCTAAAAGCGGAGGACCAGACGGTTCCAAAGGTGACCATTGCGGTGTACAAGAGGTTCATTTACAAAAGTTATGAATTTTTTATGTTAAGAATTCGAAAATCTCCAAAAATCACTGAGCACACCCTTCACCCAGGCAGTTTTTCGGATGGATCTGAGACATATAAATCATCTGAAAAAGAAGGACGAGGCGGTCTAACGCATCGCGCCGTAAAAGATGTTCATCTTCAAAAGTTATGAATTTCTATTACCAAAAACTCGAAAATGTCCAGAAATCACTACTCACCAAGCACTTTTTTCAACAGACTCCTCCTTTCCTTTACATAAACAATTCACGTACGAATATCTCCTTTGCTTAACCTGACCTCACTGTTGATTTTTTTCTCGGCTTTTGGTGAAGAGGGTCA